TTTTTTTTTTTTTTTTTTTTTTTTTTTTTTTTTTTTTTTTTTTTTTTTTTTTTTTTTTTTTTTTTTTTAGAGACTGCAATTATTTCAAGGATCCTGGTTATGCTCGTGTTCACCTTTCTTGTCAATGGTAGACTGACAAATGCGAAAGACACGGCCATTAAGTTTGGACGATACTTGGAAATAACAGAAGACGCCGTTGTGCTTTGCGTGGAATGTCAAGAGCTTCGCAATAAAAGCTCATGAAGAATCCGTTGTCCCTCGGATTGACTTTTTCACCCGACATTGATTGGGGCTTGACAGATATACAAATCTCTCACTGTTCCTCACTCTCTATCTCTCTCTCTCTCTCACTTTCTATATATATATATATTTATATATAGTGCCATTTATATTTAAGCATCATAGCTTACTCGACGTACGAATGCAGCCCCAAAAATGATTTGTCATACATATTTGAAAAGATACAAACATAACTTTGGGTACCCTGTAATAAAGCTGGCATATGTCCAGCCCAATCTGGCCCTGTCAATTATTAGTGTCAATGCTAGAATAGTATCTATAACGCTATTTCCGTAATTAGCTTGCACGCTATGAAACACCTATTATCTTTGGGTTTCATAATTAACTGGAGATAAATATGAAAGTGTTAACGTATTAAATGTATCTTACACATCCTAAGATGCGTAAAGTTCGTCATCTGTTTTGATAGAAAATTGAAGCTTTTCGTTCTGCTTTTTTTTTTAATTTTTAAGAGAGACACGGAAATGCTCAAGTACCGCGGTACCTTCAAAGAGATATATTGCTTAACTCGATTCAAGAGTTGAGCAACAATATATATAGTGTACGTTAAAATGGATAGCATCATAAGATACGTATATTCACCGTAGACTCTAACCTAGTGTTGATACTTTCAAAGTCAGTTCCTATCTCAAGTGACCTATAAAACCCAAAAGCAAAATTCTAACTGGCAGTACAAGTAGTGTGGACATTGCGCCCAGCGCAAGGTGAATAGCAGTTGATGCGACAGACAAGGAGTGAAGTCCTTGGCCTCGATTATGAGAAAATTCAAACACGGCATAAGTTAGACAGTTACAGAGGTTACACGTAAGTAGCCATGGTACCGGTTGGAATGGGTGGTGTTTCCTCTGGTCTACCCTTTGGCCCGTATTGGCCAATGAAAGACCCGTCCTCCGTGAAACGACCTGTAACACAAGCACGTTTCCATGTGTTATGTCTGATAACAGCTAGTGACGAGTATAAATAAACTCCGTGAAAGAAAAATAAAAAGCATCATAAAGCGATAAAAACAAGCATCTCAACAGCACTTACCTTATACTAATGTTGCAAATGCTTGAGCGTTAGGTTCCTGTTTTCTTTGTCGACCGTATTGACCAATGAATGAGCCATCCTCGTTCATACCCTCTGTCGTATCGAAACAAACAAGCAACATAACAAAAAAGAAAGGGATAACTAAATATGAAAAATGAAAAAAATTGCGTGACCTTAAATCAAATTAAACGAGCTGCTACGTAAGAGATAATGAAAGTAATAGTGCAAATATTATTGTGATAAGAGAGTAAATAATATTCTGCCGATTGTAATGTATATCAACGAAGCGTCACAATTAAGATAAGATAAAGCACAATTAATTACAGCTTCGGTACTATGGGGTGATAAGGTTTGACTATGCTATGTAAAATAATAACCACACACAGCTCATCGCCACCTTTATGACTAATTGCGAAATCACGCAAAACGCATAACTGAATTTGAAGAAAACTCACCAGTATCACCTTCGCCGTACTCTGCCATAGAATCCGTATCGGATTCAGGATGTTTTCCATCCTGATGCGATGATGAAGCTAACGAGGCTCTGCCCCCAGCTGATTTGTTGTCCAGAGGTTGCGAATATTCATGGAAGCCACCCTCGTCGGGATAATCTCCCCGTCCAGCTGCCAATTCTCGCTCGTGCACCGCGTACTTTCCACCGCGGTTACGTTTTATCACGCACACGATTATCAGTACCAAAAGAAGGAATGCGATTGCCAACATCATACCTTAGAGAGTGAAGAATAATGAAATGTATTATTTTGCTAAATGATTTCGAGGAAGTATATTCCAAATCTTAATTCTGAGACTGACCTATGAACCATCCAGCAGTAGCAACATTTTCTTTTGGCTGAATTATGGGGCCTTCATTGCTAGTTTCTATTTCTTGTGGCAAACTTTCAGTCATGTACTCTCCGTCAACCGCGACAATAGACATGGTGTAGACTTCACCGCTTTGAAGTCCACGAATCTGAAGTGATGAATAAAACTTAGTGTTAATACCGATTATGAACGTAATTTATCTTTTAGCATAGATTCATCAGCATACATACCTCAATCGTATTGGAAATAAATTCAGGATTAGTTTTTAGGGTAATTGTCTCGCCCTTGATTTTGTATTTAACAAAGAAGTGGCTACCGGGATTACCTGTCTGCCTAGGTAGCCAAGTAATCCTAACACTTGAAAGACCATTCTCAGTCGGTATTCGCTCCCACGTAAACTGGGGCACATCTGGGGGTCGTGCAAGTTGTGTTTTTCGTTCGATAAAGTAGCTAGAAATAAAAAGTAAACAATATTATTGATTGATTCCTCTTCGAGGAAATCCGCTGTTGAGTGAACAAATTCATGCTTCGTATACTTACTCATTTCCTTCACCAGCTTTTGTCATTGCCCGAACATGAATACGGTAATTGGTATTAGGTTTCAGACCAGCTAGTTTAGCATTAGTTACGTCAGCTCTGACCTCGTGACTCTTCCTCTCCACTATAGGTAGAACCTCTGTCTTATCCACAACTTGATAATAAATTTTATATCCAGTAAGATTGCCATTAGGTTCCGCAGGTTTTGTCCATCTGATAGACAGTGCACTTGATCCCATTGGATCGGCTTCTAAACTCATAATTGTTCCCGGTGGTCCCTCCGGAGTATCAAAGCTAAGAGTTTCCGACGGTGGACCGTTGTATCTATGAAAACAATGTAAATTTGTACAATATGGTCAATGTAACAGCTCATTTATATAATTGCGCCAAAACATATGATCATAAATTGTATCGCTACAATGGATTACGTACCTACTGTTGTAAGCGCGTATCCTTACATAATTTTTACTGTAGGGTACAAATTTGTTAACAACCGCACGAGTTGCGTTACTGTTCTTTATGTTAGTCTCTCGCATACCCTCCTCGCCATCCCTGTCAGTCCACGTTTCTACCTTATATCCTTGCAAAAAACCGCGTACCGACTCTAAAGATACTGGCTTCCACGATAACACTGCCGTGTCACTTGAAGTTACTTCTACTAACGTGAAATCAGTCGGCGCTTCCAAAGGCACTGAAAGATTTTTAAGAATAACAGAAATTCATTTACGTGTCAATTCATCAGTGAATCAAGAATTATTAGAAAGAAGAAAAAAAAATTGTCCGCACATACCGTCTTCTCCAGAATAACCAGTGACTTCTTGAGCCGGAACACTTGACTCTCCCTTTTCATTAATCGCTACCACTTTTATTTTATATCTCTGAAAAGTCGGTTGATTGTTCAATTGAAGACGATGCACTCGCCAATCGTATATGTCCTCGTGATTCCATTTCTCGCCTGGGATGTCTTGTTTGTAGAAGACTCGGTACATGAATTTTGGTGCATTGTGCTCGATCTGCGGCATTACCGTCCAAGTGATAACAATATTGTCTGGACTAGTTCCATTGCCCATTACGTTATCCGGATTTTTGTGTGGACGACTCGGTTGCGTAGAGCACACGGCACTGTGTGGAGAAGGAAGAGACGCTCCTGTGTAATAAATCATTTTTCAGTATATCCTATAAACCTCAAAATGAAAATGATTAATTATAGGCTTTACCAATTTTATTCACAGCTAATACACGGAATGTATAATTAGCCCAAGGGGACATTGGCATTATATGAGTCTGTTCGATTGCAGGCACAAATTCTGTAGACTCTTCCCAGGTATCAGGTGTAAAGCTGGTATTGTATTGTATGATATATCGTGAAATTGGTGCTCTGTTGTCGCCCATTGGGGACCACCGGACTGATGCTTCATTGGAAGAACAGTTGACTTCAAGCAATATTGGAGCATTAGGTACATCCTGAACGGTCAATGTAGCTTGCGCCTTAGCTTCATCCAATTCGGTACGAGCAACGCAAGTGTAAGTACCGGAATCAAGTTCCGTAGTCTTAGTAATCATCAGTGAATCATCACTACTTCGTACGAATCTTGGTTCCGAATAAAAATCAATAGGTTCTCCATTGCTCAACCACTGGATATTTAATGTTAAACTCGAATCGGTCACAGCATTACACCTGACAAATTAAAACCAATACAATCATAAAAATCCATGCTTAATAAATAAACTATGTACATCTTTAATGAGGATATTAGGATAAATATAAGAAATTACAATACCTGAATGTTGCTGTAGAGCCAGCTTCCACTTCGTAGTCTTCCGGTTCATCCGTAATTCGCGTCCGTTCCTTAACTATTAGACTACCGGAGGCTTCCACTTCTCCAAATTTATTAGAGGCGTGACAAATGTAATTACCGGAATCGAGGAAGATAACGTTTTCGATCTCCAAGTCGCCTGATTCAAGTGTCTTGTAACGACCTCCGGTTAGAGCCTGTCCGTTTCTTATCCACTTCACTTCTGGTTTAGGTGCACCAAAGACACGACAAGTCAACCTAACAGTTTTCCCATCGACAGTAGCTTCCTCTGTAGGAGGCTGTGTAATTTCTGGTTCGAGAGCAAGTACGTTAACGTAAACATCCTTGTAAACGTATCCTAAAGAATTGGTAGCGTTGCAACCGTAATTTCCAGTATCCTTCTTCTGGAGTTTCTCGATAACAATGGAATTTTGCGAGACCTTTCTCCTACTGTTTGGTGGGGATTCAGCTATCGGTTTGCCATTATGGATCCATTTAATTTCCGGCTCAGGTACGCCGCTAGCTTCGCATCTGAACTCAACTGTCTCATCCTCAGCTGCGTTTATGACCTCCGGTTCAACGGTAAAGTATGGCACAGCCATTACTTGTAAATTAATTGAATAAGACTTGGCATCGCCGACGCCGTTCGACGCCTCGCACGTGTATGAGCCTTCGTCTTCAAAGTTCACATGCTTTATGATTAAGGACTTTCCATAGTTCCCTTGTGTTATTCTATCGCTTGATCTTAGTAGTTGGCCATTTTTGCTCCATACAGTTTGAGGAAGAGGCGTGCCACCGAAAATGCAATAAAGTTCCACTTTTTTTCCTCGCAAAGCTACTTCGTTCTTTCTGCTAACGTATTGCTTGACGGGTTCATGTTTATTCTGGTTGGCAGACGCACCCGTGGATATGACATTCAGCAAAACCTTATTTCCCAATTTGTATTCATTTCGAAATACGGAAGTGGCGGCGCAAGCATAATAGAAGTCATCAGATTTATCGCCCCTGGTGACATTACTGAACCATAAATTTCCTTCGGGATCCAGAGTCATTCTTGAATTATTTATAGATCTGATGCCACCAACAGTGTCCTGAATTAACCAGTAAACATTTGGTTTCGGCCATCCGTCTGGAGGCTGACAGGTCAGTTTAAACGGATCTCCTTCGTTGGCGTTTAGAGTAATTGGATTTTCATCCTTGAATGAATTCAATTCTGCTTTTCGGACAAAGACCGAATTGGATGTGGCTGTGCCCCACTCGTTCTCTGCGAAGCATTGATACTGGCCCAAGTCTTCGTCCCGTGGCTTCGATATGACCAGTGTACCTCTGCCGGGTTGCTGAGATATACGGTCGTCGTAAGCTGGCCATTCAAAATCTTTGCCATTTTTTATCCATCGATACCTAATTTCATAGTAACAAAATCCATGTGCATTACACACTATACAAAATAAAATATAAAAATTGCTATATGAAACGCAATCTATTCACTAGGATCATAATAAACACCTAAAATAAGATGTTACAGTCAGTAGCCCGTAATCAAAACTCGCCCCTAAAGTCACTAACAGAGTCGCTTTTAACTAAAAGTCACTAAGAAAAAACTTAAAATCGCGCTATTAGCACTAAAAGCAATTTCTGAATACGGGCTAGTATGTAGAAAAAAAGAGCACGCATTCTAATTTAAAAATAAGCATGAACACAGCGTTAAGGCAGTAGAGTGCTCTTATAATGTTTTTACTGATAACAAAATCTACTGATAAATTTATTATTTATAAATCAAATATTTTAAGAATACAGATCAATGATAACACACACAAAACTATGGCAAATTATTTTTTGCATCAAGTTAAACAAATGATAAAATATGAATAAACCATGGATGCTGGTATAAAAACAGAATAAAATAGGCAAAATGTAATGGTAATCCTATTTCTATGCTGGGAAGAAAAAACATGTGGTGGATGGCGTAGAGATGACCACTCCCTGCTTGCCATTGGTCACTTTACAACTAAGGTATCTTTATCAGTAGTGGTAATGTCATACTCCCTGAGGCTATGAGGTCATCCAAGTAATTAAGAGCAGTTACTCTGGCTTCACTATACTACAGTCTACTGTGAATCAAATGTCAACCAAAAGGAATTTTGTGAATGAAGTCTTTCCTTTCTGCAATATCCATGTCACAACTGAACTACAATGGTTTTGATGGAGACTAAATATATTTAAATATTAAGAAGAGACTTTCCCAATTAGACAGTCTGATTAATGAAAGACTCAGACAGATTAGTAAATATTTAGTGTCAATAGATAAGAAAGCAACAACCAAAAATGCGAATGAATTATGAAATGTTGCTGATGACAAATATAGAAGGACAAGAATAAATATCGTACTTTCCATTAGATAAATGACCATACCTGGGTGCTGGTTCACCTTCTGCTTCACATTCAATCAAAAATGGCTTGTCATTTTCATTGATTTTTGCTTGGGCTACTTGGAAAAGTTGTTCATCTGTTGGAGGTTGTTTTGATATCCGTGGTGGAGATTGAACTATCAAAAAATAAAATATATTGGTATCGTACACACACAAAATTTCGTAAATTGCTAAAGAAGCTATCCACTGCAAATGTACATGATTATTTTACATTCAAACTGTTTTTCAGATCATAGATACTAAAGTGACTCTAAGATGAAATACTAGATTGACTAATTTTATAATTTTTTGTTTTGCAATGCAAATGGTGGTGTATTATATCTAGCATTGAACAAGATGAGGTTTTTAATACAAAAATGATTTCTAACAGTGCACTAGTTTCATTTGTAGGAAGACTATTGATTTTCAGGATGATTATCAAGAAACATTAAATTTATATACATGACAAGATTTAATAAAAGCCAAGCCCTTTCACTGATACAATTTTTTTTGCTTATTATAGACATATACATAGTTAAATATTTCTTCCATGACATAATTAAAGATATCAAAGTCAATATGATATATCAAGTAAATTATTTATCAAGTAAATTAATAGGATCAAGTCATTCTCATGACTTCAGTTATGCAAATAAAATAATTTTTTTCAAGTAAAGCTGTAATCTTTAATAAAATTGTTTATGAGTTTGAAATTTTTTAAATATACATTTTTTTAATAGATAAAACCAATGTTCACTAATATATTATAAAAAGCAATATTAATTGCAGAAAATTATTTACATTATTTTATATTTAATATAAAACACACACAGCACTTATAAAAAGCGCTATAGACATAAAAGAATAGTGTTGTTTTTTTCATTAATCAAAATTGAATTGCATCAAGTATTAGAAATAATGGTAGTTGCTGTGATTGCTAAAGCCCAAAAATGAAAAGCTTTTATTACTTTCTACCAGCTTTACCACCTCCTATTATATCCGGGACATGAACTATAATGTAAAACATTAAATTATTATGAGTAAACCCCATGGACAATGATAAAATCGTTTGAGATTCATAGACAAATTATCATATATACTCACTCAATGCGGTTGCCTGGAGAGCGAGCAGCACGATCATAAACACCCTGCACCTCATGATCTTTCACTATTTTTCACTGTCTAAAATAAAAAAAACCGTGCAACATAAGTATTTGGATATCCTGTGGTTCCTCGACAAGAAGCTTAATAGCAGTCAATCAGAAGCTAGATATTTTTATCAAATTGACCGTAAGGATTCAAAGTGATAAAAACATTTTATGCACAGTATAATTTTCAAAAATCGCGGCGAATTGTTTTGGAATAACGGTTGCCCGTAGAGACGCATAAAATGGGCGTGCTCCCCAGCTGCAAAGGTAAGGACCGTCTCTAGGTTCGCTCTGATGATTATTTCACGTAATATAACATAGGACATAACTCGCACGCGAGAGGATCCATAAAGATGCTGTTTATTTGGTTGACATAGAAACGCAAAGAAATTTGCATTACAGATAATCGTTATGTGCCAGGTAATCGGATGATCTCACCGAACCCGTTGTCCTCTAGAATGACAACATCGTACGAAAATAGCGACTTTATCATAAGGAAATGTGTGGCGCATCAATAGGAAATAGAAGTAAGATTGATCGTAGGTCATCCGACTTTTCCTGTGGATGGCGATCGATCGTCATTGAGGAAACGTTCGTCACGGCATCAAAAAAAAGGATGAGACACACCAAGCTTGGCGAACGGGCACACCCGCTCTGCCGTGAAGCAACATTGATCGCTGACGCTGTCAGCCGCTATGAATTTTTCGAGGTTTTCCCTGGCTTCTGTTATCGCTCTAACACTTACGAATAATCTCTCTTTTTCAACCACTGATAACACACTTACCTATCTCAATTTCTAATCACTCGTTATCACAGTTCAACGCAATCATCACCAAGGCATCACCGAAAACCATTGACTCGCAACACACAGCGTATGTACCGTACGGTACCGTACTACTGTGAGTTGGTCTTGCATACGTACAGGCGCTTCAGAATTCCCCCACTCTGTACAATCAGTCCCCCACTCTTTCATCATCAAATACTTTTTCTACGCTGCGATGTTACTAAGCACAGACACTTCGCATTCAAATCACCCCATCTGCCACGGCAAGAGTTAAATCCAATTTACTTTCCGCCAATTTTAAAAGAAAATTAATGATTTTACGCAGAACAAACCCACGAAGAGGATCATCGTCACATTATAATGACCCACAGAACGAAGAAATATATTACAACGTTCCAATAAAAACGTTGAGAAATACCTGGACGCTTTTTTAATGATAGCTGATCGAATGGATGCTAGAAGTTACCTTTCTTGTTTTTCTAAAAGATTAATTTCTTTGTAAGTTATCGATCAATCTTTTGTACATTATTTTGCAATATTTGAATTTTATAAAAGAGTCAGATTATTATATGCTTGGAAAGTACAGAGGTTTTGTTTCTATAGACTTGTATAGGTGATGTATTCCGGTTTTTACTTTCGTTAAATTCTCTAGTTAGGAATTGCTGTAGAAATGCGTACGTGCGTTTACTGCAACGAAAATGTCACTTGAAACAAGAACCGTTTGGCACAGACTCAGAAAAACTTAAGGGAATTTGGCTCGGGTCTCATTGTTGCAGATTTAGAATCAGACTTGGGGTAATGGCGAAATGAGGTTCATTCTTGGCTGCATATAGATATCAGGTCAATGACTTCACCCACCTGACGGAGGCTACGAGTTCCCAGTCACCTTTTATCCGTGCACTCTACGTACTTCGAACTTCCGGTTTCGATAGGAAACCTTAAAACATCACTCAATATATCATGCGGTTTAAAATAATGTATACTCTGTGCACGAGTTCGATGAGTTTTTTTGAGAGATTGAAAACAATGAAGTCTCTAGCAAAACATTCGTGTCACTGCATAAAATGTTTGAAACAAAGTATACATTCGCATGGTTTCATACTAAATACCTTTTATGTTTCTATTTCATCATCTGTTTACGTTATTTTATGAAAACCCACATGTCATTTGGTTAGGACTGCGTTGTTTGCAAACCGTCAAAACATCATACCGAACTCATGGGCTGACTGTAGTGTCGAACGAGCATTCCATTTGATAGCTTATGTAATTATATATAAAAAAACACTTTTGGGAAGTGTGAATAAAAATAACTAGGATTATTTTATTACGAAACAGAGTAGCTATGCTAAATTTAAAGTTTTAATATTAAAGCTTATACAGTGTCAGGTTAGTTTATTATTTGTCATACAAGATGAAATTGCAATATCAATTTCATTCACCTGACAACATTAGTCTGAGCCATTTTTTACGTATCTTTAATAAATTCTAAGTTGTCAATAATATAATACAGCAAACGAACCTATAATATTGTAATTGTCTAGAAGTAACACTTATATACACAATTTAGATCTTACAGTATTTGATACTGTTCTGGTTCCACTTCATTGATATGACGTAGGAAGAATGTTACTTTGACTTGTTCCACATGACGACACAGTTTCATAGCAGAACTTGTACGTAGTTTCATGTGTTGAGTGAGTGAGGGTAAATTTAGTAAAAGAAATGCAAGTCCGTCTATCTCCTACAACAATAAGTACAATATGACATTATAATGGTATACATATAATAATACGATAGTGAAAAACTGGTATTATACAATAGCAAGTTTCTGATATAATACCTCTTGCTTCACGCGATAAGCAATATCCTTGCAGTCTGTAGTTTTTCGAAGATATCTAAATACATCATCGACGCTCCAAAATAAAGGATTAGAATCCAGTTTCCTTGTTTTAGGACGTCTCTGTTTTTTCTGCATCCTAACGTATTCAGCGTCCGCTTCCGAGCAGTCGGATTCGATGCTCGTATCCCATTCTCGTTCTCTCTTCCCCGGTCGAGGATTTGTACCGTTCTGAACGCACTTGATAGTTTGAGGCTTACTAGTTAAACTATTGGGGCTGCCCATATTGCTGTCTTTACTTTTTCTGTCATTGAACGAACTCCTTGAATCTTCTGAGACATTACTCGAGGGTACTTCAATTTTTAACTCTTCCGATTTCTCAGGCTTCCCGAGACCTTTTTGTATCATTATATCAATTTCTGATAAGGGTGGTCTGTCATCTGTAGCATCCTCCATCGCTTCCGCTGCTTGTTTTGTCAATTCCAATGACATAAATGGCATTTCCTCTTCTCGTTCTACTTCCTCCTCTGGTGTGTCTTTATCACGATTGGCCCATCTGCCTCGTCTTCTCTTACGACGACCACCCCATGGTTTTGGCTTTTGTACCATGATACTGGTATACCCTTTGGGCTTTCCACGACGTCCAGTTCCCATAGATGCAGCTAGAGTTAAAAGCAAACAACATTAGTTTATGATTTTTTACTGAGCATTGAAAATCTTTTAAGATCAAGATTACTTACTAAACTTTGTTTTTGATGTCTTGTGACACTTGTCGGGGCACTCATTTTCTGGAACGTATAGAGGTCCAAATAGATTTGGACAAACCATTAATTTTTTACATATATTTTTACAAAACCCAGCCACCATATCGCCTGATGTAACAACAGCCACGCTTGCTCTGTAGGTATTATTTTTATGCTTTGCTTTGAGAACTTCTAGGTGATATCCAGGATCTGGCTTTGAATCACACTGAAGCACTTTTAAAATTCGAGCACTTCTATAACCGACTGATACTATCATCGATAAAACTTCTTTCATGACTAAGATTACAGGTCCTGGCCCAACTGCTTTAGGAAGTGTTGCTAATTTTCCTTTAGATATCATAGGACCAGTGAAACAACGATAATTAAAATAAATCTTTGGACACCATAGTGATGAACGTGGTTCCGATATCGGTATATCTAAGACACTTTTCTTTTGCATCTCTTTTGTTGATGTTTGTAATTTTTTACATAGTTCCACGTGATTCTTTGGCGGCTTTAGAGGATAATGATTTGATTCGCACCAGCCAACAGGGAATATTTGCAAAGAATGCATGTAGACAATGTGCTCAGGTTTCGAATCGTCGTAATTATCCATTTTTAACCATAAAAGATTGTCTATGATTTTTGTAATGTGCGTGGCGCATATTATATTCTCATTTTCTGGATCCACAGCTTCCAATCTCATACCGATCTCATAACCAGCATCGACTGCACTCTCACATTCAGGAAATAAATTTTCTTTTGCTGCAGTAGAATTTGTTTTTGCCAGATAATCGTTCCAATCAAATTCATCGGATTCGCATACCCAATTCTGTGGAGGTGTAATTCTGGAAGGAAATTTATTACCATTTAATATTCTATTTGACAGATGCAACACGAGTAAGGAAATAAAGATATTACTTTTTTTCATTTTATTATACTTGACTTACTTGATATCATGTTTTTTGGCCCAACCAATAGGAAAAATGTAGGGATGTTCTGCTGTACAAAGCCATGTATTTTTTGGAGAATTGCTTGATGCGCGATTGTCATTACTATTCGTATTTGTACCCATTTTATATACGTCAATTTCGACAAGAAAATATACATCATCAAAAACTTTTATAACAGTCGCGGGATATATTGTTGTCCGGTCTCCAGGAGACACTGCTTCCATTTTCATGCCAACTTCAAATTTATGACGAGGATGAATGACGCTATTGTTAAATAAATTTTCGGGCGTTTCGTGATTCTTTGGACTCGACTCTGTCAATTCTTTCCATTCCTCATAAGTATGCATTTCAAGTATAGAACTTGGCGGTTCAAGAAACCATTTTGAGTCTGACTTTGTTGCAAAACCGTACGGATGTAAATACTCTGCTGTACAAAATACCCAAAAATCTTTTACTGTCGAACCTGGAGTGTCATAACGTAATAAAAGGCGTCCTCCAATATTCTCCATTATCTGAAAGATTATTTATCGTTACGGATAAGAGAATCACAAATGAAATTCTGCTATTTATGCAGAAAATAGCTACTACCGTTGCGACCCATAATTTATACGGATGTCTTGAATCACTGACTTCAACTTTCATTCCCTGTTTAATCCTGTCTGTCATACTGAGTCCATCCTGCAAAATGAAAATATATAAAATTTTCTGTTCAAAATTAGCGATGTTCTACTTTTTATAGAACAGTAATTTATTCAGAATTTACTAACTCCGGACAGCATTTCTGGGGGTACTGATTTTGCAGTCATTAGAAATTCAGGTAATTTTTCCAAGCATCCTGGAGATCTTTCATGGATAGCAGCAGGTGGTTCTAGTTTTTTATCATTTTTGACACACCATCCAAGTTCGTGAGCTGCCTCTTTCGTAAGATTAAACCAGAACTCTAATGATCTATCGTCTCCTCCAAAGTAGCGTAATCTCAATAATGGACCACATGCCATAACGATAGATGCAACCCAAAAGGACACATCTTGATTCAAATTTTTCTCAGTCGGTACTTCAAGAGACATTCCTATTTCAATTCCACTTTGAAGTGTTAACTCAACATGTGGAAACATAATTTGAGGAACTTCGACACTTTCAGTTGCGTCAAGGTAGTCTTGCCAAACAAATCCATTGTCTAAGATCAGATAAACACAATTTGTAATTATATCAAGTTTTTAATAATCCAAATTTAACATATTCTCCAAATATTAACATATGTTGCGTTAAGCCCATTATTTGATTAATTTATAAATTTGAATAAATTTAATTATACAGACATTTCGAATGAAATATACAATAAATAATTCTAGTAACAAAATAGAAATGAGAAATATTAAAATTATAAAATCAAATAAACCATTTGTTATAATTATATATAATTATAAAATATCAATTCTCACATACATGTTGTACCATGCAAAATAGATATAATACATCATTTAAAAAATAGTCATTTCTAAATGATTGACATAATTAAAATTTTCCTAATCAATTAAGGTGACGCCATAACACGCTTTATAGCGCTTTCCAAGTTTGCTTCAAGAACTTCTTCAACGTATAGTGATATCCCTAGAAAACTCTACAAAGCTTTTTCTAATAAACGTAAGGTTACCAAATAATGCAACTCGCTAATCAATTTGATGATGCATAACATGAATATAATAAAGCGACATTAATATTCTCTGAAAACTTTACGAAATCTAAAAAGATAATCGATAATCTTACCTCCGTCCGATATTTTCTCTTGCGTTCGATTAACGCTCTGTTCCATGACTTTCCAATATTACAAACGCTTGTTCATAAGATATTTAAATCAATTTCCAAGTTTTATTTACTTGCCCCTAGCGTGACTTCATTCCGTGCCTTTTTACAAAGTCTTTCCATAGAGTTTATTATAAATTTAAAAAATTACCATTCACAATCGTAACACTCTCTGCTAAACTGGTCCGTTATACGTTTCTCTACTCACTCATTTGCTATCTCTTTTCTGGGCTACGCTCGGCGCATTCGTTCCGGCGTCTAGTCGTAACTTCAATATCGTTTTGAACCGTTTACAATTTATCTTACGAGTGTTCAGGTTATTTATACCTTGATAACATTTCCCTTCTCAACCCCAATGTATAGTAAGATACTTAAAACGAAAGATGTTTACCCACTTATTTTTTATATTAACATTTTCAATTTGTTCTTTCCAAAAGTGAACGAAATCGTCAATGTTCTCGACGCTGTACAAATTGTAATGTTGCCATATTTTATCAGTACACTATACTTGCTATAAACTATTAATTAATACTGTAATATGTATTTTTAGAGTGACTGGTGGGTATCTATACATTTGCTCATTGAAAACAATTTTTGCACGTTATTTTTGATCAGCTGTACCTATATACGGTAAGAATATTTGGCTTGTTGAAAATCGATGATTTTTTAAGAAGTTCTATTAATACGTGAATGCATTTTGCATTTTGTGGCTTTTTTCACTTCTGCTACAAATTTAATACTGGTTTTTAAAATTACCCAACACGTCATTATTGCACTTTATGTATTAATAAATTCTTTAAAGATCATTAATAGTATTTACGCTGATTAAAGTGATATTCGTATAAGTAATGATTTCTGCCTCAATGGCGATTGACTAGTAATTATTTTAAATACAGATGTGGCATTTTATATATATATATATATATATCACTTTCAATAAGCTACTCTATGCGCACGTTTTATAATTATGTATTGATTTAACTAAACCGGTGAATGCAAAGGATTTATTACTCGTGAAATATTTAGTGACAGTGATAGAGGAACTCAGTGTAGTGTATTCGGATGTAAATCTTGGAAACTATCGTGGCATTTTTATGGTTTTTTGAAAGCAACTCGTAATAGAAAATCAGCAGGTTTAATTAAAATGGCGAGGCAACAGAGGGCCGCATTCAGTATGATCAATATTTATTCCAATGCCAAAGGAAACTTGGTGCAGTGTTTATTATAATTATATTATCTCTTATGCGCAATTGACGCTTACTAAAGTAATTACTGCAAGTAATCTTTCAACTGACTGAATTCTTATATAATTTGAATGAATGTATGTTACTATAAATTTATTAGCAGCTCAGAAAGAACAAACAGTTGTCAGCTCTGAATGAGCATTCGTATCCGACGCTTATATGTGTACAGTCGGTAAAAATTGTAGGTTATGTACAAAGTTTCAAAAATCTTTGAAATTAATTTTATATTATAATAACTTATGATAATTGTATTTATTAAAGGTACAGCATGTTAGCACTCATTCACGGATGTAGAATGAACGTTCTTCTACGTCGATTAACTGTACGGAATCTTTTTGTTTGTAATGACCTGTTTATATTTCAATTGTTAAATCACAAGATAAAGGATAAAACTTTTGTTAATAAATTATTCAGTACTTCATTGGAACTTACAATTGCTAATCCAATAGTTAACAAATATTTAGATTATATTATGAATGAATATAAAAAGGGAAAACATAATAGTGTTCTGGAAAATATTGATCTTCGAGTTGCATCTCATCTCTTGGAGAGCAGACAGTTGATCATTGAAAATATTGAGGCTTTGAATGAGATGAGTAAGTATTGAGAACGAACATTTGATATTTTTTTATAGACAATTCATTATTGTAGTTTATCAATATAAATTTTGCATTTTTAGTCAAACAGGACCCTGAGATGAAGAAACTTGCGGATGAAGAACAATCAACATACAAGGCGCAATTATTAGAATTAGATAACAAACTGCTAGATGTAATTTTACTAAATTTAGGAAAACAAGGTTATAATGACATAGTGCTTGAAATAACAGCTGGAGTAGGGGGTCAAGAAGCAATGTTATTTGCAGCAGAACTTTTTGATATGTATTTGGGTTATATATATTATTTAGGGTTCACTCATTCTATAGCAGAGCAAGATATATCAAGTACAGGTGGTATTCGTCATGCAAGTATTTTAATATCAGGAGAGGCAGCATTTGACAAATTAAAGTATGAAGGTGGAGTTCACAGAGTACAAAGAATTCCATATACTGAGAAATCTGGACGTGTACACACTAGTACTGTGTCTGTAGCAGTTTTACCACAGGTTAGCGAAATTGAGGTTGCATTGGATGAAAAAGATTTAAAAATAGAAACAAAACGAGCATCAGGAGCAGGTGGTCAACACGTTAATACAACAGATTCTGCTGTGAGGATATTACATATACCAACTGGAATAGCAGTGGAATGTCAGTCGGATAGATCACAACTAAAAAATAAAGAAACAGCATTGACACGATTACGAACAAAAATCTATGAGAAACAATTGAACGAGCAAATGGCATCCACTAGCGAAATGAGAAGAAGACAAATGGGTCTTGGAAATAGAAATGAGAAAATTCGAACATACAATTACAATCAAGATCGCATAACTGATCATAGAATATCAAATGGTACTCTTCATAATTTGAAAGGATTTCTGCAAGGTGGAGAAGCTCTAGAAGATTTGCAAATGAGATTGCAGGATGACTTGCAGAAAAATATTTTACTGGAAGCTATAAAAGATGTAGAAAGAAGTTCAAAATAAAAGTGGTTTTCATGGATCTCTAGTCTCATAATACGATTAATTATATTATTCTACACCTTTTCGTAACAGATCGAGAGTGTTATAAACTTTATAAAATCATTCGTAAATCTAGTTTTACATGTTCACTGCCCTTAAAAATTGGGCCATAAGTAGTGACGTATTTTAACGAACAGCAATTTCTTATTCATATACGAATCGTCGAGTGACGCGTACGAGCCAATTACGGCACGGAGTTGAATTATTTATTTGACAAACATACAACAAGAATTTATTTAACCGCGTGTCCAAAGGCACACAATTGTTTTTTTTTGTTATTATATATATGTATGTATGTACCTGCGTGTATAATATGTATATTGTATATTACAATAATTTACAAAATTAATTTTAATAATTTCTATAAATATTAAACGACATACCTTTAGTCGATTAATGTATAAAGCGTGAGTATGAACGTAGCATTTACAAACATACGTAAGTATATGTACTTCTCTTTCGATTAATCCTTCTATAAAAACTATCTATCTACCTAAAAACTTTTCTGCGAATTGTAGCGGTTGGTTGGCGTAACGAAGAATACCCTGTAGAAACTGTCGAGCTATATTATCAGTTTGCTCGAAGTAAGAGAAAAAGGATTCCTCGTAATCATTTCGCCAGACGCATTTTCACCAAGTCCAACAGAATTGATACCGGGATATTAAAAATAAAATTTCACAATCATATGTCGTCCTACCTGGGTCCAAATATCATAAAACAAAGATTATGCCCAGCGGAAGATCATTCTATACTCGGAATGGCCGACGTCTAAAAAAGATTTTGAAGTTTCAACTACTGAACGTCAACGCTTCGCTTAACGGTTGTAAAGGACTCTCTTGGGCACGTGGCACAACTCTTACGGAATATATACACCTCGGCGCCACGACGGCAAGCACCATATGGATAAGTAGTCTTCGAGAAAAGCAGTGCATATACTGAACGCAACTCGTATTGCATTTTGGGCAGTACAAATTTTGGACTAATTTGACATCGGCTCTCAGGATCAGCCTTTGCATGCTTTGCTTCATTTAAATGTTTAGGTACATGACACGAGATGGTTCAGTAACGATTGAACCTGGTCAGCGCGCAAAGCAATAAAAGCAAGAATAAGTTCGGGCTGAAAGTCGACGCAAAACCGCAGAGGTCCTTGATATCGCTCTCCTTTGTATGATTTCGGATACAGGATGCTGGTCTTTTTCTCGCCAAACTATGCAGAGCTTTGTAACAAGCCAAGGTGTAATTGCTGTATAATACTTCTTCAGGAACAACACTCAATATCGGTTCATCCGTATCAGGACACGAGACATCTACGACGAGGAGGATCATATTGGTGAAGTGTACAGGCTGCACGACGTATGGTCTCTCACACGATTTATCGGAGTCAATGTCCACGTCGTATTCTTTGGAGGAAGCATTCCGTAGTAGGTACAGATATACCTATTCAAAGATGACAGTTATGAATTTGAAGAAGGATCTAAAGATCAATTACGATTGTTACCTCCTGGTCACAAGGCTGAGGTCTCGTACGATTAATTTGAACAAGTTGAATAATTTTGGTATCTTTGTTCTCTGTAGGACCTTCCACGTAACTCTTCTGATCGTCCAAGCCTTCCTCATTCTCTTCATTTGCATCTACGTAATCCGAAGTCCATAATCCAGCTTTAGCCCAGGCCCAAGCGACTTGACTGAACAACCAAGCAGCTGCTTTCTGGATGCTTCTCCAAGGCTTTGAATCAGGACTATTATTATATTACTGACTCTCAGCGTAATAATAAACATCTTCCAATCTTCATAAAACTTACCGTGAGTAGTACGTTACCATGATTAAGGGTAGGAATGTAGTCGAAGCAAACAGCTTGATAATCGAATATCCTGATCTTACTGTAGATACCATTATCTACCAAGCTGTTCATTATTGGACCCCGTACTTCACCAAGGAATTTTCCAGCATCGGCAGGATTATTAGCAGCTATGATATACCCATTGTTGTCCATCAGATAACACGCTATGGAATCATCTTTGCATGTCTTCTGACAGTTAACAGGACTGTCGCAGTTGTATGTAATATTATGGAACAAGCCTTGCAATGCCGAATGTTGAAATTGGAAGCCCACGACTGCTGCTGGAGCTTTGGCTTTGCCAGTACCTGTATCAGGACGTGTCACGAGTATAGCGGAGTACATTTGTTTCTCGTTATCACGATAGAAGTATGTTCAAGTGACTCACCGACAAATATCGCACGACTGGCTGTGACCAGGGTTGTATTATCATCATCACGTTTGTCAAATGGCACAGAGAACACAAAGCTGTCTGGATGTACATAATACTGTTCAACAGCACGCTTGTACCACACTTCATCTATGGCTCTGGGATACAGCTTACTGAAGTGATCATCCGCTGGAACACCATCATCCCTAGGGAAGTCCTGCCATCGCGTTAGACCGCTGCGTGTCGCCACGAAGGCTAATGTGAATCCAAACCGTTGCGTGAATTCTTTCCTATAACGAAATGTCATTCAGATACGGAAGTAATGTAGACGACGACGTATTGCGCCTGTGGAATGTTCAGGAATTTATACAATTGAAACAAGATTAATTTCTGCATTGTGCTTGATTCACGGAACAGGATACTGAGAAAGTTATAAAAACAGCCGGCAAATTGTAGCCAGATCATAGGTCTTATTTTGACTAAGACTAGCTTGAAATATTCGTGCCAAATTCAAGCTCATATATGTTCTCTCGACACCCTTACGCGCACTGTTCTTCTTCGCCCTGAAAAGATCCGCCTCGGGACGACGACGTGGTTTGTTAATGCTTTACTTTGCTTTAAGACTACAACCACGCAAGACAAGTGCTGAGGATGGACAGTATAAACACATAGAAATAGAAAGATAGAAAGTGGCTATGGTGTGAAGAGTGAAAGACAGTTGATAGTTGATAGTCAAGAGAAACCAGAAATTATGAGAATAAGGCAGATATGAATACAGTATAAAGACTGATGGAGACAAAGAGAGAGAGAGAGAGAGAGAGAGAGAGAGAGAGAGAGAGAGAGAGAGAGAGAGAGAGAGAGAGAGAGAGAGAGCGAGACAGAACAAAAGAGCAATAGTCAAAGTGACAAATTTAATAAATGTAAAAGAATGATTAAGACAATGAAAAAACATAATAAGAAGAAACGGCTGAGATAATTATTTCTAAATATGTTAAGGTGCGATGTGATGGCGTTACCTGGGCAGGAGGTTCACCAGCCTAGCAAAAGGTCTGCATGGCGCCAAAGTGGTAAGTATTAGTAAAAGCAACAGGTGCATCGTCTATTCGTTAAGTGTGCGCCAAAGTAAAAAGGAAGAGTCAACAAATAAACTATCAGTATGCGCTTCACTAGAACGTAAACAAAAAGACATGGTCATTCGTCCTAGATGAAGTGACTGTGCGTAAGTGAGCGCGAGGAACGGATACACGTGTCAGGATCCGGCAGATAAATATATCTGAATAAAAAATCTTAATAATTACATATATATTGATAGTACGGAAAAATCGTGACACGTGTAATCGGTTGACGCACTTGACCAGATGAGAAATTCTGTGTCGGATGCTTGGACGATACACACATTCGGTTGCCAAATATTTGGAGTTTAGCTCACCCCATATCCTCGCGGGTGGTGTTGGTGTTCGCAAACCACTCGGTTACCTTTGCATCGAAAACCAAACTCTGAAGGAGATTACGGTCGCAGTAATACGAGATCCTGTCTGCTTTATTTGGATTGGCTGAAAGGAGAATTGATCGATATATAATACATATATACGAGAAGAAGAAAAATAATCATATAAAGTCTTTGGACCAGTGAAAAATAATTTAACAAAGACATGTTCCTTAGATTCCTGAATAATGATAACAATAATTCTTGTTACACTAACAGGATCGCTTACGGTGGGCCGCACCGTGACCAGAATTCGAAGCAGTACGTTCCGGTGGTGGGGATCGTTGCTTCGAATCATTCCATTTCCAACCCGGCTGGCGGATGCGCTCCAAAAAGTGTAGGAGCTGCTTTTCCGAGGTATTGAATATGTGTTCAGCCTCATAGTGATATCTAGATTGAAAATTAAAAAATAAATGTATTCTAGATTGCTGCTCTTCCTGTCATCGTTAGTCGCTGGTTATGCAAGGACACTTACATGCAGTACATCCAGTCGGGATGCACCCGCCAGTTACCACCTGCGAAGTAGTCTGTCACATCTTTGCCTACGACAGTTGAGTTCGTTCGAATATGCGATAAACTAATGTCTAGAAATTTGCGAACAATGACGAATACCCGTTTAGATTACATTGATCGAAGCTGCCGATTAATAGGCAATGCGAAAACAGTCCGTAAATACAGAGTAACTTAAAGCTTCATTAAATGGTATAATATTAGCTATTAAGTTGTCATCGTCATTGTGTCGCAAAGATATAGTCATCGAATTGCTGAACGTACCGCTAACGTAAGATCTGTGTATTTCCTCGGAGGCATGTACACGGTAACTTCCGGCATGATCATATTCGGGCAGACTGACCACCACTGTAAATGGTGTATTCTCAATGCCCATATAATCGTATTTCCTTCTTACTCTACCGACACGTTTCTGCAATAAATACCACAATATTAGTAATAATGCGGATTTGATATTGTTGAAATTCTGGAGATAGTTTTTTATTACCATATCGTCGTAATGGTACTTTGTATGGAGAGTAGCGCTGCCGTTTGCTTGGTTGATTACGTCTTTGCGAAGCTGAAACAAAATGCAGAATAATAATTAGAATTATTTTTCTGACTCTTTATCAATTCGTACTGACCTCAAGTATTCCTTCTTCGAATTCGCGAGGACCGTTGTCCTGGTCCATTAGTTCAACCTCCGCCATATCAACACTGTTGTATGATGGTTTTAAAATTTCCTGAAACTAATTTAAGTTCCAATTAGTAGTAATATATTTATGAGAGACAATGAGATTGTAATTTCAATTTATCCTTGGTCGAGAAAATACCAAGGAAATTCTCTTTGTCTCTTTTCTGTGTCGTTAAAGAATTACTTACCACTGGTCTGAGGTCGGGATGTATTAAAATATAACCGTTATTGGTAACTATAAAGGCATAACCATTTACTCCCAACTGTAATAGCAATTAATGACACGTGATAGCAAGTATATATCAGATATTAAAAGATGAGATAAAAAATTATTTAAATTATGTAAATATTATACGTACCATATGCGGCATCATGAGCTTTTGTATTTCCTGTATTGGTACATCCGTGCCAGCCACTCCGAGGAGATCCGCGATTCTAGTCTGAAAAAATAGTCAATTAGTATGGCGCATACGAATCGAAACGAATTAAACGAATATTTATGTCAAGTCACATAACCAGAAGCGTTTCTACCTTCCCCAACAACGCTATTTAATGAATAAACTAAAACACACTTCTAGTGTAAAATAATAATAGTTATTGTATCAGTTGACTGTTCAACTAGCTCACTACGATTTAATAACGATATTGGCGCAGGCTGAATCCTAATAATTAATCAAATCACAATGATTATATTAGCAGTCAGTACCGATCGTACTTCTAGCCTAGATTAGAATACCAAAAAATGTTTATCTTTTGTAATGTCAAGCACGTAAGACTATAATGAAAAATATATATATATTTTTTTTTCATTCAAATCCGTACGGTCGGTAAAGACGGTATTTATTAATTCACTACTCGACTAATTAATCTAGCAGTCAAGAAATTCGTAATATCAGTCGTTCCGACTTCACTGTAACTTCGTCTACGCAATAAAGTATACGAGGAGTTTCGCCGTTCGCAATCCAACAGAGGCGAGCAGGACCTTCTACTCGTCGAGAGGGCACAGGGCACAGGGTGACTAAAGTTCCTAAACCTACCTAATTTTTAAACTAATATTAATACTAATCTCAGATCAAAGTAAGATACCAGAGAGATGAATATGTAGACCTAAAAAGTAACGAAAGAGATTGGTAATCAACGACCGTGATACACGGGCCATAACTTTCGACCCCTTGCCAGTGAAGAAACGTCAAAATCTCACTGTGAAAACAATAATGATATCTGAATCAGCTGTTACATGGGTTTTAATATAACTTAACAAAGAAAAGTTTATCTGGAAAATAGTTGTTATTTGGTTAAGGGGTCGAGAGTTAAGATGGCGACAAAAGGTAGAAGGAGACTGAAGTATAAAAGGTGTTAGGTAGGGTTTCTATGCATTGAAACAACGTTGCGTTTTTTGTTGCTGCCAACCTCTCTTGTCTCTGTAACCCAGTAGGCTTCGTTCACCAGGACCTGCTCTGTGATGTTCTGTGGACAAAGAGGTCCTTAAAACCAGTACTCATCGTCTAATCATATGTTTTAGTAGCATATAGCGTACAAATTTATTATTATGCGATGATTCGAATTTAAAAAAAAATATCTTTTAACTATCTAGATTATATTTGTAGCACTACTCTTTCTCTCTCTCTCTCCCGTTGGCGTGAATTCTCCTCTCCCGTGTATATGCTAAAAGCCCTTAAAGGAAACTTCCTTAACAAATTTTAAGGATGCGTCTGATCGATCGTGATCATCGATAAGCATGAAATTAATGACTTCAATGAAGATTCGTTATGCTCTAATGAGATTATCCTGCAAAGAGCTGATGAATACTGTCTTGGTTATGATTATAATGAAGTGAGATAAATGAATGAAAAGTCGCAAAATCTTGCCTAGTTACCGTGCAGATTCCTGTAAAATTTGATGTATCTTTTTTAATCCCAATAAACAACACTTCGAATGTGCTCTCTCAGGAACATTCAATTCTTTATCCTCTCTATAACCTACAAAATTCTTTATCTCTCTCTTTCTTGTAAATCTCAACAATGATAATCATTCTTACCGCGTTTTTTCTTCTGTCGAATACCGGCATGCTGACAGATGTCATCAGCTTATATTCCTGAAGATCACCATACCGATTGTTTATCCTCTTCTGCTTCTGAACAAATCTACGATCTTTCTCTTGCTTAGAAAACAAGGGTCTGGGATCCTTTCGAAAACTTTGAAAACGCTCTTTTTGCTCTTTGCATTCTTTTTGCTCCCAACGCCAATCCGTCATTTTAGGATCAGTTATGTCGGCATAAATCGGTGTCCAAATTCTTGGATGATCTGTTTGACCTAACACAAGGGGTCTGGCCATTACAGGCACGTAATTCAGCACCTGTCAAGTGAAATATGATTAATAATGATTTTTCCACCTGTCAAGTCAAATATGACTAATAATGATTTCTACCTGTTCTCGAACTTCTGCTGGAGTCGATAGGTGGACGTAGTAACCCCTATTGGCGCAAGCCATCCAATTAACTTCTCGTACGTCGGCGACTTCTCTGCCAATCAGATACGTGAACACTCTTACTGGCATATCAGCTTTCTCAGGGTGCTCTGGATTGTCCTGCCAGTTATATTCTTTAAAGATTTCTTTATAATTTTCAGGAACACCGTCAGTGATGAGCATTATTGCCTGATTACACCTGGCACCTTCCTTCACAGTACGGTACACCTCCAATATCTCAAAAGCTTTTATGAGAACCGCCGAGAAATTAGCTATTTTATCAGTTTGCATATTGGTAATAGCATTCTTAAGCTCTCTGACGTTAGCTAGATTTGCTTGTACGAGAGATTCGTTAAAACATGGTACCACCTATATAGGTAATGTCATTAGTTGATATGTATTCTAATTACTTGTCTGTTTGATAATTAATGTAATTTGAATAAAACGTACCACGTTCATGACATCAGAGAACGTGATGACATTGACAAAATCATTGTTTCCCAAAGTGTCCAAAATATTATTCACTACGTGTCTGGCGATTTGTTTTCGCAATCCAGTCATGCTTCCTGAATTGTCCACCAGGATAAGAACGTCTTTAGGACTGGTTGCTGCTTCAATGTACCAGCTTCTTGTTCTACAGTCAAAGAGGTCAACGCGTGAAGGATCCATTGGCCACCTTATAGCAGGATATTGTCTCATGAATCCTGTGGCGCTGCCGAAATATTGCCAGGACAATGATGGATCTTGTTCGTAATTATGAATGAACGTTTTATCGAGTTCCTCGGACCATTTGATAGCCCGTAGAACATTATCAGCTCTGTCGTAGACATTTGTCGGTACGTGAACGGCAGACATGCTTTGATTGACATATCCACCGAAATGTTCACTGTACGTTAGGTCTATTGTATTATTTTTCGTATTCACGTAATTGTATTTTTCCAGAGACTCATTTCCCATTGCCGAAAGTGCTGACGTCTCTGCGACATCCATAATACGCTAATGGACAAGAATCAGAAGTTCACTTGAGATGTTTTGGACAATTTTCACATCGTCAAGATTTTGAATACCGGAAGACGTACGTTTATAGCGGATATTTTCAACTCCATCATAGCTTTGATATCCTTAGCGATGTCTTTGACAAGGGTGTTTCCGTCTTGTGGCTTCACTTCGGCGAGCTTGTAACTTTCGTGAAATTTCTCGACGTTCGTCACGTATTTTCCCAATTGGGACAGCTCGAATCCAAGTTTGTTCGCCCATGTTTTTACCCTGTAAAATAAAATGTCTCAGATGCTACATTACACTGATGAATTACATATTATTCAATAATGAATCTTTTCAAATCTTTCCAATACGCTATTCGTATTCGACTGATTATGCGTGCTAAATAAGAGAAGAAATAAATGAAACGGACGTGTCGATAAATTGTTTACAGAAAGAGGCCTAAATACGATTTGAAGTTTGACTATGTTACGGCAGATGATCACAAGTCAAATATATTTTAAGAATCAATTCCCGTAGATGATCGCACGAAACATTGAGTTTAATAATAATATTTTATAATCTCAGAAAATTAATCTATAGTTATTCGCAATTTATTTTTTATTATAAACTTAACATTCATCCTGAATACTGGCCCTGGAATCCGTTGAGAAGTTAATAGACAATGGTGATGTGGTATAAAAGATTTTTACATAATCTCAAGTAAAATAGGTCTTCTCTATATACGATGACCAGCAGCAGTAACGACTGTTGTTGGTAAATTCCAGCAAGAAATTTATACAGCATTGTCAAGATATTTTATGTTTACTATATTAAAATTTTTGCCTCATTCCAGAGGGTGTCAATCATCACACACAAACAATCAGGACTGTTCGATTCTCTATAAAGAAATTGCAACCCCTCAAACAGCAGATTTATTCCAGTTGACGTGAACTTACGTGCTAAAGGATATACCATCTTCTCGTCCGTGTATCTCCGTAAGGATGAGAAAGACGATCGCTGGTAGGAAACAGACCTTCATAACGCGCGAAACGAGTAACTCTGGCTGGCTTACAGCTGTTTATACACCGGAATAGTAAACAAAACTGAACAGAAGAGAAGCAGCGAGCTTTCCGCCTAACATTAACGGCGCCGTACTGTGCGGCGTGGCCTCCCTAGTCTATTTTATCGATCTTTGGCGCATACGAGCTTGCGCGCAAGTGGTCGCAATACTGATAGTGCAATGCTTCCAAAGTATCATGTGCTTTAGGTCACAATATGCTGCTGATGACCTTCTAATTGAATATATATCCACAGTAAATATTACAAATGTATATCTATTTGCGAAATTAATCGAGATAACAATATCTATGTGGAATTCAGTTACATAAAGATTGGAGACGTCACGACAACTGTACGTATTAAAGAGATACCACTATTGTAACAAATACCAGCTTATTCGAAATTTTGATTACTTTTTGACAGGCACATATTATCCTGTGCGTGGAAAGTTTCTAAAAAATTGACTGTTCCGTTTCTGAGATATACGCAGTGAACGCCACGTGCATTGCACAATACATATATCGTATCTCCTTTAACATGAGTATACCGTTTAGATTGTAGTTCAACAATTATTTTTTATCTAAACAATGTTATACTGATTAGAAATCAGTAATTTTGTAAATACGACAATTTGTCTTATGGCGAAAGAATAGAGATCTCTTTTTTCTTCAAAAAGGATTTATGTGGATTACCAATATTCTACTAACTAAAAGGGGTTTTTGTCTTTGATGCCTTACGCTGCACTGATTTATGGGTATCTCTAAGAATACTCAGTATCGGTTTTACAGAATTTACAAACAACTTCAGTGGAACATGGGCTAATGTCGGCTAGTAGAATAACTTCGTTACTCCAGGGATGAACGAATGCGTATTATGTATATACTCTGTGAATATTAGCCATTATAGATGTGAAAAAATCCTTTGAGTGTATCTTCAAAAGTCTCATAAAAGAAGAATGTGATCCTTGGAAAATAACAATTTTATGGATCACACAAATTTACATAGAATTGTAAAAATAGTAGCAAACAATAACAGCAAGGATAGTTCTAATTTGGATCCTTGACCGCAGGCTTTTATTTGATACTCCAGGGGATGATCCGTGAAGCAACCACTTAATCTTCTTCTGGGTAGGTCATTAAGTGGTATCTTATGGCAGGGTGTATCATAGATATCCGTATAAGTAAACGGTGAAATTTCCTCCGGAAGTACACTTAGTCTTATGTAGTCCGACCAGTGCATAGTGTCAATGACAACAAGTAACAAATTGGTGTGTTGTACCTGAATAACAAAGATTATATTTGCATTTAGATTTTCAATTTGATCTTTTCAACAAAAATGTATTACCTTTTCAGCAAAAAAGGGTCTAGATCGACTTGACGTTACATTTGTGATTCCACTATCGCCTATAGTCTGGTTCATGATATATAAGGTCCTTTTCTGATCACATGGGTAGGTCTCTAAAACCTCACATATTTCTGGCTTAACAACTTTTTCTTCCTCACGACGTGGTTTCGCGAATACTCCTGGCAAGTCGACAAATTCCGCAGCGAACCATGATAAACGTATCAGAAACCATCCAATCAATTGCCGCACGTACCCGAAGGGATTGCTGAAGACACTGGCTGCTCCAACGATGTTCTGTGAGGATATAGATCAATTAGATACGTGGAATATTTTGGCCTGGTTGTAAAAACTAGAACGAATGTTCAACCACTTACGATTTCGGAACACAGAGCCTGGTAGTCGTACAATTCAACTGCTTTGTACAGACCCTGATGTATCATTGAATTCATTATAGCACCTTCGAGAGTTCCCAAAAATTGTCCAGTATCATAGTGAGCTTCTGATATGACCACATAACCATTTTGATCTATTAGGTAACAATCAATCCAAGCAAGATTACAGTTCATTTTTGGATTGGTGGATTTTGAGGTGATATCTATGAATCTTGCATACAAAGCTGTCATTGGCATTTGAAAACCAATCACAGCTGCTGGAGCTTCGTTTCCACCATCCTTGGGAAATATTCCTAAAGATACTGTAACCGTTGCATTCGGTCCCGCTTCCCAGGGCACTGAAAATTCAATAATTATCTATAATTACATAATGTCCGGATGAGCGTAGAAATATCGGATAAAGATTAGCAACATTGTAAGGTGGTTCACAATCGATACGTACCTGTCAGGGAAATACTGTTTGAATCAATATTATGCTGGAATATTGCTCCTTTGTACCAGGGTTCATTGACAGCTCTTCTATGAAGATCACCAAATTCTATTGCATCTTCATCATTCTCCTTGGGTACAAAAGCTTCATCCACGTTTTGCCATCTTGTTAAACCACTCTGAGTAGCTACGAATCTCAAAAAGATTTGATAATCCTTAGCCAATTTTTCGCTGCTGGCATCAGTGTGACTGAATTTCCCAGAGAAGCCGCCGTTGGTCGCGTTGGCGTCGAATACAAGAAGTTGCATAAGTTCTTTATTACAATAATAATCATCATCTTTCAGAGTCTGTCGTCCACGACTCAAATTCTCATCATTCTCCTCCATATCCGAACCTATTTCATACTCTTCATACTGATCAGACCATCGCCAACCGGGTTTACCCAGATTGCCCAAAAAGTGCCGTAATTCCTGTTCAGGACTTTCAAACTCGTGACCCTCCAAATAGTGGAAACGACAGTAGACCCAACCCGGATGAACTCTCCAACGATCACCGATGAAAAAACTTGATATGTTGATCTGCGCGTTTATATTTCTTTGGATTTCATCGCCCACCTAATTGCAAAAACATAGATGTAAAACAACTAATCAAATGTATTTAATTCTAAGTTTTTTTTTACCTTGATCCACGTTGTTCCATAATCCGGTAAAGTCACTGCCATTTCGAACGGTGTTCCTGGCAATGGAGCATAGAAATAATTTCTCTTCTCTAAAGTAACTCGTCTATTATCGTCGTAATGCAATTTAACAGGAATACCCAGCATGCTGCCACTTGTGTGATTTACCAGAGCTTCTCGAAGTTCAAGTAACTTTGGACTAGGATTTCTGAACTCAGGAAGAATCAATAATTGAAAAATTTTACTAGGACAGGTAGTCTCAGGACGTAAGCTGTTTATAACTAAGTACAAATCTATTAAGGATATACCTTGGTCCTCTGTTATCATCCAGAATTTCAACTTCCGTCAGGTCGATGCTGTTGTAATTAAGTTTTAAACGACCCTTGTAAACAGGTCGTAGATCAGGATGTAGAATAACGTATCCATTATTCGATACAATGAAAGCATAGCCATTAACACCCAGTTTGTAGGGTAAAGTCAATTTACGTATATACTCGATGGGAACGTCGGTACCAGCTACGCCAAGAAGATTCGCCACTCTCGTTTCATTATTCCTGTTCCCTTTCCTGTCAAACGCGGGGATACTGACGGATGTCAGGAGTCTGTATTCTTGCCAGGTGGTAGTGTTCAGCGTCGACGGATCCTCATGGACGCTTTCGTCTTTTCCCAACTAAGAAATAATAAAATTCCATTAAATTCAAAATTCATTCCTTATCATAAAACGTTCGGAGCACTTTGGATTTGAATATGATAAAAATGAGCATTATATTGGATATTGTTATCCTTTGTGAAGTGCTCTTGATTCGATACTAATAATAACAAAATAATCCAGAGTAACCGAACGATCAGTTAATTATTGAACTTCCGACAGTGTAAGCTGTCGGTAACGTTAAACAGCCACGTTTTGGGTCTTTTCCTTGATGGATTCATAATTTTGGAATAACGAGTCAAGGTTCTTTAACGTAATACGCAGAGATTTTTTGAAGGAAGGAGTGACGGTGAACGAAAGAAGGAAAAAAGTATCAAAGTGAGGTTAAGCTCAGTCGTAAGATAAATCGTATAGCGGGACTTGATTATTCCGGCATTATGAATCAGTCTGATTGGTCACGCTAGTTTTAAGGAAACTTAAATGTAATAATGCAAATGGATTTTACCAACGGGATCCTGGAATGGGGGGTAAACGTGCTACGGTAAATAAAGTTGGATAATTCGTGCACCTATTTAATTTGAACTACGAGGTGCGGGAGCTAAAATAAAAGAAAAAAATTTATGGAAATAAAGAGAAAAGCTTCAAACTCTCGAGGGTTTTTATTGTAAACCTGTTGAATGTAGATGGCGTCCTCGTTTATTCGTACGCCTTGCCATTTCCTTTTCAGGTGTTTCTCGAGACGTGATTTTTGCTCCTTGTGCTCCATCACCAGCCACAGCCACGTGGCAAGTGCCGGATTCTAATAGAATTTATTCCTTTAGTCCTGCTAATCTTAATAATCCAACAGAGGAGACACGATCTCTTGCACTAAGCGGACGCGATGTAATACGTACACCAAGAGTCAAATATCAAACTAACAATACAATTGAAAAAATTCAACTAATAAAAAATTATTTATATTACTTACATGATAAATAAACTACAAAATTATAGCATTGTGTTAAGATATACTGATTTATTTTTTCATTGATCAACGTCACGCTGACGCTCGTTACCCAATATACCTAAATCAACGTATTCAAAACGTTTCTTGAATACGTTAGCTGTTTATAGCTGTTATAAGTAAATACTCATCGTGTGTTCGAAAGGTTTATAAATATCGTAGGTAATCGAGTCAAGCTATTTTTAATTACCAGCTACGTAGCGCGAACTTCAAAATAATAATTTAAACAGCTTTCTTAAACAGAGTAGACGATAGCAACAGAATAAGGCTGATGCGACATTTTTATGTCACTATCACAACGGGATAAGTTTCTAGTGAATCTCAGGCTGGTCTATACAGGGTGTTCCTAAATTCGTGCACTCGGAGAGCATTGCGTTATTCGGAAAATATATGACCAGATGCTGGAAATGAAATTCCCTTTATTTAAACATACTCAGTTTTTGAATAAGAACCAATTAAACATAACTACATAACCAATAAAAGAGCGGCACTACGGAAATAATAGGGACTTGAGAATTTTGAATTTCCTTCTATTGCTTTTATTTCGTTGGTACCGTGAAAAAAAAAGCATAGGAAGAAAACTCAGAGCTCGCATATGTCTATTATTTCCGTCGCCACCTCACTTTCATTGATTATCTTCAATCATTTAAAAACTAGGAATGTTTCAATAAAATGGAAGTCATTTTCAGTATCTGTGATCTCTCAGGAACACCCTGTGTACTGTATGTAATGAGATTGCCGACGGTATATTGTCATATGATGCAATGGACTTTTTTTCTGCTGTCGTACGCAAAGATATTTGTATACCTAAGCGACTATTGCGAGTAACAATCGTAGCTTGGCACGTATTTTACTCGCACAGCATTCCTTCTTTAGATGGATATACATGCTTACCGAGATATCAGCATAAGCGTGGGTCCACACGACAGGGTGTTCCTTTCCTTGAAGAACTAATGGTCGGGCCACGACGGGAATGTATTTTAAAACTTGCTCCTGAATTTCTTGAAGACTATGCACGTGCACGTAGTATCCTCTATTCAGACACGCCATCCATTGAATTTCACGAACGTTCGTTACTTCAAGTCCCAATAGATATGTAAATACACGAACGGGTATATATGTATTATTGTTACACCAGTTCCACGTTGTGAATACCTAATGAAAAGATAATGACAGAATAAAGAATGGAATTATCGATGAGAATTCTCACGAGTATTCATATTTAATATAACCTCTGTCAAATTGCCAGGCACGCCGTCTGTGATGAGCATGATCAGCTGATTACACGGAGTATCTGAATTACATCCTCTTTTGTCTCTGTACGTTTCCAGGAGACTGAATGCACTGATAAAGGCATCTGTCAGATTGCCATTTTCCATTGGTTTGATGTTGTCAATGGATTTGATGAAGGTGTCAACATTCTCAGGGGTCGCTTGGACGAGCTTATCCTTGAAGCACGGCACTACTTCGCGAGTCTCATTGGCGTAAGTAAGTACAGTGACGAAATCATTATTTGACAAAGTTTCCAAGATGGCCGCCACGGTTTTCTTTGCTTGAACATAGATACGTCCGCGTGCGAATTTTGAACATTATAATTGTATTAGGTAATAAGTTATTAGACATATAATATGAAAACTGGCTATTAATTATCATTTCACTTTAATTACGTCATTTTTACTTGCACTTTAGATAATATTAATGTTACCGATTAAAAATGTATTATTAATATTACCGATAGTTATTCCCATGCCTGCCATACTTCCACTTGTATCTAACAGGATAACCATATCCTTACTGCAAGTAGCTGCCTCAATGTACCAGCTGCGGACTCTGCAGTCGTAAAGATCAACGTCCGGTGATCCATCAGGTGTCACTGCAGTTCTCCATTGCATGGCAGGATATTGCCTCAAGATTCCTGTTGTAGATCCAAAATATTGCCAGGAAAGTGCTGGATCGGATCGATAATTCTGTCGAAAAACATCATCCAGAGCTTCGGACCACCTAATAGCTTTCTTCACTTCAGGAATTCGATCATAGATATTTGTTGGCACGTGGACGGATGAGAAGCTGGTATTCACGGGGATATTGTAGAAGTGGGAATCTGGCGTCAAGGTAATATTTCTATGGAGAAAAATTTGTAATCATTAAATTATCATCGAAAACATATGTCGCACGATAGGCGCAATCTCCTGCGACAGGTACGAAACGTTACGCGATAACGTTATTTATCCAGTGAGTAATGTCGTACGATAGCCAGGTATAAATTTTTAAATAATTGCTAACTAGTATAACAATATACAGGGTTATTCAGTAGAAACGCACCACCTGAAGTTAGCCCGTCCATTTGATTTCTATAGTAGATCCATCTTCAAGTGATGCGTTTTTACTGAATAACTTTTTATATATATAGACATACTTAAAAATATTACCTGTAAATATCCGAATCATTTTTCATTGTTTTCGGAAGTATTACTGTTGGTTCTTTTTCCACTTGACTATATTTTCCTGATACATAAGAGAAATCTTCAGATTCAGTGACATTCCAATACTCAGCTGCGTCTTCAGCCACTGACAGTATGCGACGGACAGCATCCATTTTACGACGTAACATACGACCAACGTTTTCACTGATAATGCTTATTAATTCCTCCCCTGATTTATTTTCCACTCGTGCGTTCAGGTCTTTGTATTTCTAAATGGCAGAGGAGAATCTTTGTTTGAGGACTCGTATTAGTTTATTAGGAAATGAATGCGATTCGGGATCTAGTACAGTTTTTTTTTAACATAGATTATCAATACGTTTTACGACGTTACTATCAGTAAATACAACACGTTTGCATCTTGACCTTCATTGAGGCGAAGATATGTGCGTCAGTCATACTGGTTGTTAACGCGACAGCTGTATTTTAGCCAGGAGAACAATTTCAAACGGATATAAGAAGCTGAAGGAGAAAACATCGAAAAACTGCATCGTCACGCCGAGATGAATTGGTAATTGTTGAATTATCGTTAGAATGGCTAAGAATGAAAATTACAGATTTTACACAAAAAGTACATAAATCACAGGAACAAAGATTGACATTTTTCAAATATAATTTTATTTATCTTAGACATTTTTTTTATTGCCAACAAGCATTATATACATATATATATTTTAGAGCATAATTCATAAACCTATTTTTTTGTATTAAAAAATGTTCTCAAAATGATCTAACTTTAATGAAATATATATATATATATATATATATATATATATATTATAATAAACGCTACCACGAGATTTTACATGCAGGTTTCACACAAAATTATTCATCATGACTTACATCCTTTAAATCAGCTGGTCGAGCGATGGTGTTTGCCAGTTCCCAAAGCTCCTTACCAAGCGTCTCGGCCCATTGGTCGACACTACGAAATTCCATCAAGAAATCCCATGTAATTCCATGAAGCTCACACAAGCCAGTCGCGCATCAATATCACTCACATTTGGGCATCGTTGGCGAGAGTCGTGCCGACTATTATTAAGACTAACCATTTGGTCCATCCTACCCGTAACATAACTGCACTCGAGCCTTTATTATTGGAATATTCACAGAAGTGGCATTTAAAGTTTATAGAACATTTTCTTATCTGCAAAAGCCAGCGACACGCCGGCTGTCCGGTTGCACTGAGATCTGATTATTTTTGGTTCACGAGCGGGCGCCGAGACCCGTCGAACGCTGGAATACGCCGAACAGCGTATATTTATAAAATCCTAGCCTCGCCGCTTACGCTTAGGCTAGACTCACGCTAATTGTCTTTCGAGAATTTCACGAAAGAGCGCGCACAAATTAAATCCTCGTGTTCTCTTAGGAGGGAATAAATTCTTTATGTAATTCAAAAATGTATCTAACGTTACTTTATATATATATATATATATATATATATATATATATATATATATATGATTGTGAATAATAAAATGTATATATATATATATATATACACGCACACGCAAATATATATATATATATAGTTTGACAATCAGGTCGCGTTACCTTGCCAAGTTTCTATAATAATATATGTAAATGACTATATAGAATTATAGTGCATTCGCTATACTAAAAAGTCAGTATATAATTGCCGTGTTGGTTAAATAAAAATTATAAGAATACCTTACACATCTTATTACTGATAATTGTATAATATATCGTTGAACATTTGTTGTATGGACACAAAATTTTGATATTAAATTTTTTATTTTTTGCCTTCAGAAAACTCATTGACAGTCTTATTATTGTTGGTTGTTTTTCCTTCAGATAAGTTCACGATAACTTAATTCGAAAGATATCTTTCGGTATTAAGAAAAGCCATCCATTAGATAGAAATTACCCAGAGGCTCCAAACGTGATGAGACTGGCCATTATTCCGACGACTGTAAGGATCGTACGACTATAGACGTGAGGTTAGACCAAGAGATGGCGATGATCTACACGATAGAGTGCGGGTCTTTCCTGATTAGTCGGTACCCACGAAAAGAGGCGTGCACCTCCGTTCCTCGAAGCAGATATTAAGCAAAACTTTGCAACGTAGTGTACCGTAGCCGTCAGAGGGGAGAATATAAATTGATATTGATTTTGGCCATGATGTCGATGTAAGGCTCAGATGCCGACCGGCAGTCACGGTAAGAACGTTGGGCAGACAGCTGATTCGTTCTAAAAGAGGAGATCCAGTTTACCCAGGGAACAATAAAGCAGGCTCCGTTCACAATAGGAAGAATCATCGATCAAGAATTATTACGTCGTCTTGGTTTTGTGGTGTGTGCGATACAATATCTATATATAAATATGTGCGCGAATGTGTGTTATTCACTCGATATTACGAATGGCCGCCAAAGTAGCCAAAATCTTAGATTCTAGCGTCCTTCATCCAGTCAGATTATAATGTTGGATGATCTTATCGTAATCGTCCATGGCATAGTTTGTATCAACTAATCTTTTAATAAAAAGGTCGTTTGCTAATGGACTGTAGGTACGGAAGGGATAGATCGATAAGAAGTAATATTTCACTAATTGCCGCCTGACTTTAGTGCACGTTATGCTTGTATCCAATTGGTTCAGGTTCGTCGTTTACTTGAGTATACGGCGTGAATAGTTACACAACGGGTGTATGAGAAGTACAGGTAACAAAAGAAGTATGCGGACGCATGTGAAATAGAATTCGAAATTGTAGGTTAGAGTTTTATATTAAAGCCGTGACACTTGTTGCTACGAAGGAAGTGAAATTGTGAGAGAAAATATTCGTAAGATTGTCACACCCGTTATTAAAGCCAACGTAGACAATTTTAAAAGTGTTCTCTGTACTTTGTTAAAATATTTTATCAGTCAATTCCTTGTCTCTGAATTTTTGCTGTTAATCAGGATACAGTGTCTATGCGGATGACGGAATGCTACAAATTGATTTTCGAAATTAATTCAACGACTGTTACAATACATATTTTATTAAGATGTAATAAGAGAGGCCACCTGCGCTCACGTGACTTAACGATAATAATAGAACAAGATTGTAATAAATTAACGTTAAATTAGTATTGACTGATTGACCGAGCGGGCACGACCTCTGATGCATGTTGCGTGAGCCCCACGTCGTGTGAACCTCAGCCGAGGGCCAACAGGGTTAATTAGTTCAGAGTCTGTTGGTTATAGTTGCTCTGAGGAAGAAAAAAAAAATTTTGCACAGCCCTCTGACTGGACCGGGTATTCAATTTAGAATCGATGTATCATATGGGATTTAAAAATCGATTAAATTATAACAGCATTCTTTAAAAGGAGTAAGGTTATCTATACTAAAAAGCTTGAGAACCATAGGGGAAGAATGATGACGTTATTTATCTCGTGTGAAGTTCGGTCCCAATAATTTTATTCAGCATCTATGAGGAGTCACTCAAACGAATCTTCAAAGGACTTTGATAAATGACCTGTTAAAGTTTCAATTGATTAAACGCGTTGCTCGTAACAGTTTTATAAGACGTACTCACGCAATCGTGCTCGAATATTACCAAAAAGTTTTCATGTGATATTTTAAGTGAAATTGAATGTCCCGCCTTTTAGTCTTGCCGACAGCTGATTGGTCGGCGTCACGAAACTGCGCGACGCAATCAGCTGTTTTCTCATCTCGTGTCGAAACGTTTTTGGAACTGACTTGATTCTTTGTTACACTTTCTTGGAGTCATGTTGAAATATTAATTGTGCTTTCGGCTGTATATTTGGCAATATGGTGGCTATAACATATTGGGGATTGATATCCCCAAAGAAATTATTGACACTGGTTGGACATTTCTGTTTATGTAAGATATTTTCACAGGTTGTAAGTCTGAGACGTGATTCAAAATTTTAGGTGGGAATCTGTATTGTTGAGCATTGTTGAATAATCATGGCGTTCAATGCCTAAAGCGGGAGACTTGACATAAACTTTCCATTTTGTCGCCGTTTTCGTAATAAGTATTAATGGATATCGCTATAGGCGATTTTATCATTCCTGGACATTCTAAGAAAATATTAGTTGTAACATTCATTTATTTACGAAGTTATCAAATGCTTATCATTCGCCTGAAGTATATTTTGAACGAATAGTCACGTATGAAGCGATACCTTAAAATTCATTCCTATACAATGTTTCGCATACTTATATTTCATAATTAAGATCTGTTTGTAACAAGTAAAAATTTCACGGTATAATTTTTTACATGAAGTGATACATAAATTCTAATTCATCAATTATTTTCTACAGGTCGTCGCACAATGGTGAACAAAATTTGGTGGCACGAAATCAAAAGGAAGTGGAGCTGCCTAAAATCCGAGGTTCCTCATGCCCGATTGTTCTCCGAACCAAGATGGCAAGACCACGTAGCTGTCTGGTACCTGATATACCGATGGCTTATCTTCTTAAGCTGGATTTCTATTATCATCCTTTCAATTTTCGAGGTCGGCAGTTATGAACCCCAAGGGAACGATCAGAAATGGGCAATATATTTAACAAATTGGGATTTGGTATTGGGCGCAGCGCAAGCATTTCTAGGTTGTTTTCTCGTATCGAGAAGATGGAAATCCCAAAGAGAATCGAATTACCAACCTGATAACTTAGTATTTGGAAAATTAGAAAAGGTCTACTGGTTCCTGTTCGTTGCGACTTCTTCAATAGCGATCGGTGTCACGGTCTCTTATTGGGCCGCAGTTTATGATCCAAAGATTCATCATGTAGATCCATTGAATATACTGCTTCACGTTTGCAATTCCATATTAATGTGCTTAGATGTATGCATTACAAACATTCCATTCAGATTAAAGCATTTTTGGTGGAGCGTTGCTATTGTGACATTATATGCAATCTTTTCATTAATTTACTTTTTTGCTGGTGGTCTTAATAAAGACGGTTACGATTACATTTATAAAATACTCGACTGGAAGGTACCAGGAAGAACTTTACTTGTTTGCCTAGGGGGTTTTGTATTTGTAGTAGCAGTCCATTGTTTGTTATGTCTCTTTGTGAAATTCAAAGACCGATTACATATGAAAATAAATGAGAAGAGGACTGATACGTCTAGCAGATCCGACAATCAACCGCCGGTAGCAATAAAACGAATAGAAATCATTGTTTAATTTAGGCATAAATGAGAACCTTGACGTTGCCTCTGTTAAGTGCTCACTTATTTAAGTAGCTTTTATTAAATTCCTTGTTGGAATCACAATGTGACGTTGACAGTGATAGTAACGTTATTGTGGGCAGGATAGATTCCATTTTCTTTGTTGTATCGTTGTATTACTAATGGTTAGAAACAAATTTATACACTGATATATCTGCTGCCATTATACATAAAGATTTTAATCATCATGATTATCATGAATGATCATATGATAGAAATATATCACGTTTCGAATAACCTTGAGGATTTTTGTAAAACTGTGTAAGCGATCCTCGCCAAACTAAGTATTATTTTCACACGAAAATCCCATTTTTTTATAAAAATAGTAAGACGATAATTGTCTTAAATACATACATAAGTTAGAAAAAAAAAGTAATATCGATCTAAGGCACAAACCTTAAGTTTGATTATCAAAGAAATATTGAGCGCTAGAACATCGTTTTGCAAAATACACATTTGTCCCTGTCTTCTAAAATTTAGAAGAGATACAGCTTATTGATATGCGACTGAAATTTAGTAATTACATAGGACAATTTTTTTGTGATATTGAGTCGCAAACAACAGTGTTCATTCCACTTTCTTATGACGTATCTAATACTTAGAATAACTTGCGATGCGAAGTATGGAATTTGTGCGAAAGTTACGTGAAAAAAATTATGTAACGCGAATACATGAGTCAAGTTAATGCGACTACTATACACAAACCTTCAATTTCGAATAACTTAATATTTAAAACTGTTATTGATTCTTGCGCATTACGCAATTGAAAGCTGGAGTATTATGAAACCTAGAATTTACTTTGCATGCCGTAGTTTCTTTAGAAGAGCAGTAATTTTAAGTTACGTGCACGTCAAGAATGTTACAAGAAACTATAGAATTGTAACCTGTGCGTAGAAATTTTAGTAGCATCCATTACTGTATCATAAGTTTAAGACTTGAGAAATCTGTATCTATCATGTAAGCCTATTCCACGAAATTGATTAGAAAACAAATATTTACATGGATTATTCTAATGCTCAATGTTTTTAGAAAAAGATATTTAATTGAGTGTTTAGTATATAATAAACATTTTTCATATGTATAGGCAGTATAAAAAATAAAAGAATAAATAAGTGTTCCAACACTGTCAACAATGATGGCAAGAATAGACGAGACAGATGAAATCATTTTTATGGAAAAATATTAACAATTTATTAATAGAATAACGATTTAAAGCAATTATGGGCTGTAGTAGAAATTAATGTTAGGTGGTATTGAATTGAGTCTTCTGATCACAGACCATATCAAAATCTATACTACATTTGAAATAACAATCACCCATAGCTTCTACTTTAATAGAAGCTCAAATTTACTCGAGATCACGCAAGTTAATCGTACTCTCTGGTGGTCCGGAATCCAGTAACAGCACCTGACACTCCGTTCCTACTATATCATCCTCATAGTACATAGATGGCAATTCTTCTGTAAGAAGTAAACCTTCTCCTAAACCTGCAGCACCTAACACAACGTCCGTAGCTCCTACAACCGAGTTTATTATTGTACCGTTCGTTTTTAATTTCCATACATCGGCACAAGTCAATCCAGTTCTTGCTGAACCTTGGTTCCGTTTACTTTGTTGCTGATCTTGTTGTTCATCACTTGTTTGATTGCGAATAGATGGATAATGTGAGCTTTGTGAGACTTTTAACACAGAATTCAGCGGTGGCGGTTCCGGTTCAGGTAGACTTGGTTCTATTTCCGGAGACGTGCTAAGTATCAAGGCATCACAAGAAGCTACCATTATCATCTGAGAATCGTCTGCTGGTTGCGGAACTGTACAAGGAGCGGTGTACAGTATGTAATCCATGTTTGATACCGACGTGGTGGAAATTCTCTTTAAAGTTTTATCGCAAACTCCAACTGAAGTTCCGTGAACCTTGAGCATATGCGCTCTTAACGTTGCCTTAGTAGTATAGGATCTAGTGCAAGTTTCTACAGGACAATGATACAGGGTTTTTAGTTGTTCTGGACTAGACAGACCCTGATCCAGGTCGATAGCATCGATCGAAATTTCTTCCACGGATTTTATAGGAATTCCTTCTTCATTTTCAGTCATTTCCGTTATTTGAACTTGATTTTCTGCTTGAACATCTTCAAAAGAACCATCTGGATCAAGTATACTTAACATCTTTTTTGTTTTCGCGATGGGATTTACTCTGGAACAGTGAGATTCTTTTTTGCTAAGATTTTTAGAAGCGTTGGATACACGGGATACAGTGCTGCCGTTATCTTTAAGTTGATGTTTCTTTATATGAACGTAGAGACTGCTCTTGGCAGAGAATCTTGCGTCGCACAAATAACATTGAAAGTATCTACCTTCCTTGTGCGTTAATCTGTGCTCTTTGAGGTGTTCAGACCTCATGAATGCTTTTCCACAGGATGCTACGTCACATACAAACTTCCGTTCGTTCGTGTGTTTCTTCTGATGTCTCTTTAGTTTACTAGATGAAGAGAAAGCCCATTGGCATCCTTGGAAAGTGCAGAGGTAGGGCTTGCATCCTGTATGGGAACGTATGTGCGCTTTGAGTCTGCAGGGCTTATCAAATACTTTCCCGCAGCCAGGCCAGGAACATTTAATGTCGACTTCTTTGTAACTGTGACATCTCTGATGAGATGTTAAAGCGTTACTACTGTAATACCTTTTGCCACAACCTTCATGCTTGCAAACATATGGTGCGTGACTCTGGTCATGTGATTTCATGTGCAATTCTAGTGCTCTTTTTGTTTGGAACTTTTCTTGACAGCCTGGCACGTGGCACACTACTCTGTTTGGACGGCTGTGCAATTTTTCATGACTCCACAAGTTATATACTGTAGTAAATCTACGATTGCATCCCTCAACCTCGCAAACGTAATCTTTCCGCTTCAGGTGTGTTTCTTTGTGCCTTTTTAATTTAAACTCTGAATAAAATGCCCAGGAACATCCCTCGAAGTCACACTGAAACAGAAAATAGTAACATTTAGGGAAGATCTGTATTATCTATTGATGTTACTAAAGGCATTGGAGAAGATTTTAGTTGGGAGTACCTTAAATGGTCTAACTCCGTAATGAGCCAATAAATGACCTTTGAGAGCATAAAGTCTGCTAAATTGACGGCTACAATCTTCACGTGGACACAGCCAGACTTTTCCATGTTCAGTAATGGATATTGGTTGTAATGTATCATCGGTAATGCCTAACTCTTCTAGGGCATTTGATATTACCAATTCATGTTGGTTATTTGGCGATCCATCCACATTACATTCTGCAGAACTATTCCAAGCAGCACCAGCATCAATTTTTGGAAGTTTAGGAAAATTTCCTGTTGCTTCTATTAGCTCCGAGGTTTTTCCTTGATAGATTTGTTCTTCCTTACCAGTATTGATCACAATTTGAGTCATGTTTGAAACTTTATTAGTAGATATAGCAACAACTGCCATTATACCATCCTTTGATTCTGATGGATTATCACCTTTAATACACTTTATTGAGTTTCTATTAGCCTTGTCGCTTTTTCTGCGTTTTTTTATTATTCTAGGTTTCAATTTTGTTTTTAATTTTAGTTTTTGGTAATTTGTAGAATTCTCTTCAGTTTCAACATCTACTGATTGGCTCACCGAGCTTGTGTCAAGATCCACAGAACCTACTGCCTCTACATAAACGTTCATAATGTTCCTTGAATGACCAGTATCTGATTTCAATGTAGTTTCTTGGCTGGAATTAGGCTTTATAGCTTTTTCGACTCCTGGAGGTAAATCATTCACATCTACTTGCGTAGATTTATCACAAAGATCTTGATCCTCAGTACCATTATCATCTTCCTGTACTATACTACCATCGTCTTGTTCTGTTCTATGGAGCGAACTCTCAGGACTATTACTCGTTTCAACATTCAATGTGAGGTGAGTACTCGTTGAAGGTAAAATCTCTCCAGCCACCATCATATCATCAGGTGATAGTGCCAATGGATCTAAATGATCCAATTGAAATTCTGGGAGTATAAACTCATCTTTCTCGCATGCCTCCAATAGCTTCTCACTCTGTAATTCTTGCAGCAGAGGATCGTAACCCAGAGTAAGCTTCTTGTCAGAGAGATCTATACCTATGGAAAGGACATCAGGGTCTTTCCCCAAAAAAGTATGCGGTAGTTCATCGCCCAAGTACCGGTCTACTCCCTCCTCGACCTCGGACTTGATCGTGTCCAGGTCCATACTGGAAACAGATTCGGTTCGAGTCTTCAACCATTTTTCAATGTCAGCTACTGTTTCCGCATCCGCGGTTTTCTCACTAGAATCTGCCTGTTCATCCAGAATACTGGTGATAGGATGGCAAGAGGTCCAGGACCTAACGATATTCCCGGTACCCTCCACATCCTTTGTTTCTTTCTGTTTTCCTTTTTTACCTTCTTCTCTTTTGTGTTCCTCCTGGAAACCGGAGAGGAAACTCGTCTGCGAGGCTTCACTTATCCGCACTGCTACTCCGGATTCCGCAAGGGTCCAACCGCGGCCTGTACTTGTACTTCGACGACGTTGAAATATTCGCGGGATCTGTTTTGACTTAGAAGCGGAGGAAGCTCCTTTACGAGACATTTGACTGCCCCGTAGCCTCTTTTATAGGGGTCTACACACAACGACAACGACATCGGGGAGTGACGTAGATAACCTATTTGCTGGCAGCATTCGCAGCATACCGTTTCATATGGCCACTGTCAGGCGGAGCGCGCCACGTTCAATGTGTGTACATACAACGTACAACATTACCAAGTGCCGTACCGACGCAGCATTGAACATGTGCACGCAATCTAGTCGGATTTGAAGCCATTTAGAAAATCACTATTTCCTTGCAGTTTAAGACGTGATTAAATATTATTTTTTTTTACAATTACTCTTTTATACTTTCCATTGCATTAACATAAGTGCTTAACAATTTACGAGCAACCCAGAGAGCTTGTTTTGACTGAGATTCTTCAACGAGATGATGACAAATTAGTCTTCAGGAGCATCACATGGACATTTCCCACTAGCTTTAGCTTTTGTCAGCTTTTGCAATTGCTCAAATCTTGAATATTTCTTGATATGCACCTTTGGATCGTAAGTATCTTCTGTTTGAAATATTGGAGCGGAAGGAGTAGCGGTATTTATTTCAGTATCTTGAGACTGCGATGTAGGAATTAGAGGTTTACCGCCAAATTGACGTTTCTTCTGAAGAGGAGGGCACACGTCCCTTTCATGTATACCTTCTTTACAGCTGAATGGCTTTTTCCGTCTCTCTCGCGGTCGAAGTTCCTCGAATGGTATTCTGTAACCTTTCTGCGGAAACATAGTTCCCACTTTTGTGGTATTAGTTAACGTAGATTTCGGACAACTGGCATTATCGGCATTATCGCGTTTTGAAGCTTCTTCCGCAAGAAGTTTGCAGGTGAGAGCTTTAGGTAGCCGATAGCATGGCGGCGGTTTCGGTTGAGCTTCTCGTCGTGTGCAGCATTCAGGTTTTGGGGATTCGGTGTACAGAAGCACATCACCCTTAGTCATGGAGTATCTGGGATCACACAGTCTTGGATCTTGTTGTAAACAAACGGATTTTTGCATATAAGCCAATCTACAGGTGCAAGGATCTGGACGAGGTTTGGTTTCGAAATTAAATAGATAATCCCAGAAGCTCTCCTCGTGGCATTGCTGTATTATTTTTTTCGGACAGTTACTGGGTTTCTCTTTTTTTGGGACTTTAATCCTGCAGAAATTGAACCAAGGTCTTCTTGGTTTTGGCAATGGTTTTCCGAAATCGGTATCGAGACATTTCGATGGACAACCGATAGACGGCTGAGGACGGTCCTCTATAGATTTCTTTTTTGATATTTTTTTTCCTTTTTTTGATCGCCCACCGAAACATATATTTCTCGTGATATTTTTCAAACATTCGTTAGAGTTTCCTTGCGCAACGTACTTCCAATTCTGTGATATGAAATTTAAGGAATCTTCATATAATGTGAATACTATGAATAGGTTAAGAACAACATAAATGCAATTTATTATATGTTTAAGAAGCCAGTAACCAGAAAATCTTTAATTAATATCTACAAAAGTAGCAGAGCAAGATATAACTGAGAAAGGAAATACATCACATCAATTACTTTCCTACCTGTGGTAAGAGTGCACCAGAAATTTTGAGTTTTGATCTAAACGATGCCATGACAGTGTTAAAAGTAATGAGTAGCGCTTATCGTAAAATTCGTTTGACATAGCATACAAAAATAACAAGTATAACTCTACCAGTGAATGAGCAAGCTCTAGTAAATGGACGGATTCATGTAAATTGCATCTACTTACATACTATAATGATATTAACACGAATGTAGATTCACTGGAGGAGTTTCTCAAGGTATTCATTAACTGGTAGATTTATTTCTATAATTCAAATCTAAAAATACGGTGTTCCAGGATCTTCCCAAATTCCTTAGGTACACAAGAAAACGCTTGAGACGTTAAAATCAGAATTTCCTCAAAGATTTGCTGAATCTGCGGAGAATATCTACAACCAGGAAGCTGACGATGCATAGAAAATAACGTGTGAGGATGAAAACGAGCAGAAACGACTAGAGACCAAGTCAGATAATAATAAGACAGAGATGGAAGAGAAGAAGCAAGCAGCCAATGAACGAATTCCTCTATAAGTGAGTAAAATGAGTAAACGAGTAGATGATTTATTAAGATAAGCTTCCGTGGCTTCATCTTCTTCAGTAAACCCGAATTACCCTACAGAGACTGCGTAGGAGGAACCGGAAATGCCTGAAGTATCCAAGCAGGTAAAGACAACAAGTCTATTAGAGCGGAGCAGATAAAGTAGGTAGTTACCAGGCAAAATGTGGCGTGTCGAGTATGGTACGTAGAGGTGCTAGAGGGATGGAAAGGAGAAGCAGTGCAGATTGATTCGGCACACCTAACCCAGCGTCAGTCTCAACCCCATTGGCATTCTCATCCTCGTGGAAGACCCGTGGGTTCAGCCGCCTTGGCTAGCAGTAGAGGTAGTAGATACGCCCGCCGGAGCCCCTTTTCCACTCGCGAGTCGCGGTGAGGAAGGGTGTTTACTCAAGACACGACAATTCATTACGTAATTGAATTGAATGAGGCCTCCCTCCAGCCCACCAGATCTTCTATCCTCTGCATCCGTCGCTGTCCTCTCCTCGGATCCCATAGCTGCGTCTGGGATACACCCTCGGTATACGTATACAGCAAACCCTGGTATCTTCCCCGCAGGCTCCTCCTCGACAACCAGCTCAGTCCCGGCTACGGAGCGACCGAATTAAACGATTAGTTAAACTGATTTCGAGTTAGGAGAATGAATAAGTAATCGGATTTCTCGTTAAGGTAATCGCATTGCGCCCTGATTGGCTCCGTCTGCCTGCGTTATAGGCCATAGCTGCCTGCGACTCCCTTTCCAACTCTCTCTCTCTCTCTCTCTCTCTCTCTCTCTCTCTCTCTCTCTCTCTCTCTCTCTCTCTCTCTCTCTCTCTCTCTCTCCCAACCCTCACTCGGTCCACCTACGGATCTCCTGTTTCTATCGCCTCCCTCTCTCTCTTTCTCGATCGCACTAGGTAGGCTGTGCCCCGCGATGTGAAATGTTTGCACGAGCAATTACATTCCCGAACGCAATCCCATTTAAATATTGCCGAGTTTGGTGCGGGCAAACATGGAACACGACGTGCAGGGTCGCACCACGTATCCACGCGTCCAGACGCCTTTTCGATTGATCGGTTCAATATATCTGGGAATGATTTTTACCTTTTCTAGGGGATCCTGTGCCAGGGCGTAGACCACAGATGGTTGTTTGGATGGTTACAGTGGAGATATTAAGAAGAGGAAGTATTTTCCTTGAATAATTTCAAATGAACAATTTCACTGATTTTTGGCCGAAAATTAAAACAAAATGGGATCATGTTCCTGTGGGAGGTAAGTGTCAAAAAGTTATAGCTTGTCGACTTACTTCGGAGGATCTCGATGGTAAAATTATAATATTTTACAGGAGAATGGCCGTTCGCGGGTTTTCCTGGCACGTGATAGAAAGACGGCCCTGGAAAGCGTGCCGTGTGCGGCTCGTGCACACGGTGTGATGTACATATACAGGGTGCTGGCTACCAACCGGAAGGGGTAGTTTGCGCCTGGGGTGGAAATGGGTGAAATGCTAATGAGACTTCGGAGTTCGTCGGGGCGTTTCAGGGGTATTTTGGGGCGTCCTGGAAACGCCTCCGTATCCCGGATTGGCGAGCGCCCAAATGGCGGCCGTCGCGACGCGTGGCGTCCTGACGCGTCTTGCCAGCGCTCGTCGCCGTCGTCGCCGCCGATACGAGTGAGTCCCCAAGGATGGAGCAGCTAGCCCAGTTCGTCTCGAAAAGCTTCGACAACGCGAACGGGAATCGTGATAACAAGACTCGAAGTTGCGGTGCCGCGGCGGCCGCAATTACCTTGAGTGTGGCTCATTTACTTGGTTCCAGCGACAGTGCTACCAATAATAATTGCCGTACGTTTATGACACGTGCTCCTATTTAGAGAATGACTTCTTTTACTTTTTTTATACATCGCACGATCCTGTCAAGTCAACAGGCTCTTTTGCAAAAATTCATTTTTTAGAATCGCCTTAAAAAGATTTTTTAAGCAATTACGTTGTGACCGTTGCATTATTGCGGTTATCTTTTTACTCTAGAAATATCAATTTTTTTGACGAACTTCTATAAAGTTCCTAAACTACAAATTCCACTTTCACACGTGAGAGATAGGTATTATTTTTTTATTGGCACTTCCTTTGGATTAGTTGCGACGGTGAGATTAAATCAGCCGACGGCTAGCTTTTATTTCAAATCTTCGAGGACTATAATATTTTCCAAATTTTTCATTAAAAAATTCTTATATTTCATTTCAATCGAATTACACAATTTTAATCCACAATTAATCAAAAATTCTTTAATCACTTCAAATGTCAAACCCTATGTTCTCTGTTGCTCTCCGTTTCGTAGCTTGCTCATTGACCAAAGTATTGAATCCAATTTTAAAAAAAATCTACAACAGTGCATCAACTACTCGGTGGAAGCTCCTTGCAGAATTCTCATATTATTCGTCCACGTTCTACAGATGGAAGCGCACAGTACCGAGAACCCGTGCCGGAAGTGTGTAGCGCCGAGACAACCGGCGAGGATGAGCCGCCGTCTCCGGAAGCTCGTCTGCAGCCGGAAGATCTTTCAGTCACCACAAAGATCAAGGAAAGCACGGAAACCATCGTGCCGTTAAAAGCACCGGAATTGAAACTCTCCGTAAGAAAGTTATTGGGATGCAGTCCGTCGCCGCCGCCGATCACCAGAGAACGTTCACCGAGTCCGGAAGCTTGTGCAGATCTAAGATCGTCATTGTCAAGCGACGTGAAACCAAACGAGGATTTGAAAGTGACGCAGCAAGTGTCAAGATCATTGATATCGGTACAAGAAGAGTCCAACAAAGGTAAAAGTGACTATTAAAAATACTAAACAGGAAATATATTAAGATATTCCAAAAAAAAAAAGTCCACGACTATACATATAATAACGTTTTCAAAATTTCATACACCGCCAGGAAAAAATCCTTTTGAAACGCTACTAGGAAGATCCTTAAGATCAGACAGCTATCCATGAACTGCTCGAGTCCCTATGAAGCCAGGAAGTTCGAAAACCTTTACAAACCCAGTCTACACGAGAGCTGGGGATTTCCAGATCGTTTATAATTCACGAGATCGTCCAATAACGTTCAGAAGTGATTGGGAGCAGCTGACCATCCGTAACGTAACGACCTTTGACCTCCTATTTTATCCACATGCCAAATCATGCTTCGTCTAACCTAAAGCATACATAGAATTTACTAAAAGTAAAGATAACGCTACGTCAATGAACTAATTCGCTATTAATAATTTTAATATCAATCAAAGCAATTGATCATTACTTTTTTTTCATACACAACTCAATTTATCTGCCGAGAGCGTATTCAAAGTTGTAGAAACGAATTCTAATCTAGCGACTGTAAAGTTCCGAATAAATTCAGCTGTTAGCAGATAAAATACACAGAGTTCATCCGTTGGTAGTACAAGGGTAACTTTAACAAAGTGCAAATGTATTTCGCTTTAGTAAAATCGGTTATGCGTCATACGACTATACGAATTTATGGTTTAATATGCGCGGCATGTGGCCCTGCGGTGCGTTATGGTGTATACCTCCCTCCCTACCTCCTGTAAACGGTAAACGTCATCTCTCGGGGGTCCATAACTTTTCGCGATTAAGCGCAAATCAAAAAGCAATCTGCCCGGACGGTTCACGCGCCCCCTTCTTTCGAGGCCCAGTCCGCCCAGCCAGCAAAAGGCAGAACCAGAAGAGAAAAAGTAAAATAATAAATATCTAAACTCCATGGCGTCCGGGAAGAAGCTGCGAAGTGCTGCAGTAGATCAGAACGGCTAGCAGAAGCACTTTGCCTCCTACGAGTTGACGTTATGTATTTATGTTACGAGCCTTGGAATCCTCATTCAGTTAACGTATCTATGGATATGATAGAGCTTGACCCGAGGTCAGCAAGTACGCGCATATTTATGACCGTTTAGGGGTAGTTTCTCAAATCCACCACTAGGGGGAAATGGCGTGAGCCTACGTTCGATAGGTTATTTGAAAATTTATGAAAGCTTCCCCATAGGCATGGCATAGATTGAATACGAGGATAAAAAGAGCTTTTGACTTTTTGAAGTTAATAAATAAAATTCAAAAATTTTCAGATACCTCAAATATTCACCTTGTGCAAATATTAATGTTCTAGTCGGTGTCTATTTATTCTGGGCACTTAAGCTCATTAAGCTATAAGTGATTGGAGCTTTGAGTAATCTTATCTGTGGGTTAAAGGTCATTGTTTATTCATGAAGCCAAGGAGACGATGCACCATATGCAGTCTGGAGGGAACCCAGGGCTTTTCCGTTCGGCCTGGATGGCTATGGGTACTTTTGGACGCCATTCCGAGAGAGAGAGAGAAAAGGAGACAGGGAGGTTAAGCGAAGGAGAGAGTAGCGGCTCTTAGTAATCGAATTAGCGACCCCTTGTGTCCGAGTGTGATTGCTTTGGGTCTTGAGCGGGGTCGGGTGGGGTTAAGCTACGTTTGGAATAACTGCCGTAGTTGCAGCGTGTGATTTTGTATGTCCAGTCGACGAGTGGAAATTCGATGAAACGCATTTTACACCCGGTAGAATTGTACATGTGGCATATCGAAGGGGGCTACGAAAATCGCGCGTTATTTTACAAGCGAGGGGTTTTAAACCTCTGTACATATGGATGCGGGTGAGCACTGGCAGCCTCGAAATTTCATTATCCAGGTATCGGATAATTGGTTAAAACTGAACGCGTAATGCGGATACATTGGCAGTGCGGAAATACAGTCGTCCTGTGCAACTTTGACAAGCGTCCAATAGTCCAATTTAATTCTCTATGCTTTGTTGGGTGCACTAATCCTCTGATAATATAACATATAAACAAAGATGGGATGAAATATAATTTTCATTAAACAAGCCTCTAAATAATCTTTGAATAATAATAGAATTCCATTGTGGATGCTTCGGTGGGGAAATAAATCCTTTGATGATGTAATATACAAAGAAAGTTGTGGGAGTAATTTTTAAAAATAATATTTTCACGTTTCTCCATAGGCCCAAGTAGCCACATGGTGTTCGAAGTATGAAAAGCGCAAGGTCACAAGGAAGCATCCGTGATGAAATAAACTAGAGCCAGGGTGACTAACGACCCTGTACAAGACACCGGTAGCTCGCCACTTTACTAAATTATATAAATCACAGCCCCTTCGTCAAGGGCTCTACGCGAGATACTTAATCCATCCTCCTTTACCTCGGCATCCCCACATCTTTTTCGCAAACTCTACGAGTTGTACCCTAGTTACTTTACATTAAGTACCCATTAATTAAATCGCATAACCTTAATTATCTAAGTGTCTTCCTAACTGGAAGGCACGCTCGCGGCTCTCTTCGACAAATAGTTAAGACTCGGGGTTGCGTTAAAAAAAAGGAAAGAAAAAACTTGAAAAACTCCCACCAAAAGGTACACGACAACAATGGATAAAATTTGATGCTAGAAGTCTATTGAGCTCAAGTGCTATTATTATTATTTATCCCATCGGGTTATCTTGCCCATAATAAAAAACAAGGTTGACGATGACCCCAGGCATACTTGGCATCTGATAGGGACCGAAACGCTTCGCTGACTTTATTCGACTGTTTTGCAATTCTACGAAACGATCGTTTCGCTAATATCAACCAATCGCAAGACAGACTGATTTGAATAGAATACTCATAAGAGAGAAATTTATGATGATAGCGACGAGGTCGCAAGAAATGACCCGTGAATTAATGGATACCATCGCACCGGGACCTGTTTGCCAGATACGATCATCTTCTTGAATAAATCCTTGCATTAAGTCTCCACTTCGGTGACGTGACGATAAATTCTTAGCCGGCGAGATGAAGCAGTCGTGGAATTGAAAGTTGGGTAGCACCGTTTACTTGTATGCCGCAGGTTCGTCTTGTCGTGGTGCTGGCAATGGAAATGGTAAACAAAGAAGATCCAGGACCAACTTCACCCTGGAACAGTTGGCAGAATTGGAAAGACTCTTCGACGAGACTCACTACCCGGATGCCTTCATGAGGGAAGAATTGAGTCAACGTCTGGGTCTGAGCGAAGCCCGCGTACAAGTATGGTTCCAGAACAGACGAGCCAAGTGTCGCAAGCACGAGAGTCAACTTCATAAAGGTAAGTAGATAAATGATAAGGACATGGATGACAGTGGATCCCTGATACCTGAATATTGAGACTGAGGGAGCCAGGACTCGATTGTCAATTTGAGCATGGTTGAAAAAAGGTGTGGCAGGTGGTATGGTGTTAGCCCCACGAAGTCCACCCACAGCACTGGAGCCGTGCAGAGTCGCGCCGTATCTGCCAGCCCTGAGGTTGCATCCCCCGATGCAGGGAGGTACCAACGTAAACGTGACAGCAGCAGCAGCCGCGGCCGCGGCTGCAGGTTCGGCATTTGACCCTGCAGTTCTTCATTATGCAGCTGCGGGTGGTCTCTTCTGCCTTGCGCCACCTACGCATCCTCATCCTCATCCTCATCCGCATCCGCATCCGCTCAGCCTAGCAGCGTCTCTCACTGCAGCCGCAGCCCGTTCAAAAAATAGTAGCATTGCAGACCTCAGACTGAAGGCCAGACGACATCAGGAGGCTCTCGGATTGGATAGACCCGCGTAAAGAGAAATGCCTAATGAAAGATCAAGGGAAATAGATGCGGGATTAAAAAGATATTTTCTTTTTGACACTCGATCTCACGAGAGTCATGGCCAGGTCGAGCACGTGGCTCTCGATGAAAATGGCCGACTTACAATCGACGTGTATATCCGAGAAGTACAAAGGAGACATAACTTGTAAAAATGTAGTCGCGAGACATGTACTATAACGTAGAACAAGAATTTCACGAGACTCGTGAGATCGTTTTTGTTCTTTCGAATTTTCATTGACGAACCGTTGGTTATCACTTTTTCCGGGCACACACACAACACACATATATATATATATCGATTCGCGTAGCAAAGTAACTGTGATGTGAAGATCCATTGGAGGGGTCAGTGGAAGATGGAATCCAAAAAGCGTTTCTTAATTCTAGCTAGAAAGACAGAAAATGAAAGAAGGTTAAATCCTGTCGGTTAATCATTCCTTCGAAGGAGACGTCCGATTAAGTTTCGAATTCTTCCGAGAGATGTCGCCTCGAACAGCTAGCATTGCTAAACTAGGAATCCCGAGATTGGCACTTTGTCGTATTAACGTTGACCCCTCCATTTCATTAAATTACTTAGAAAAAGAATACTAAGAGGAAGGTAAGATTGGAGGGTATTCGGAGTGGGTTAGAATCCATGGGATAATCTTTAAATATTCAAGGTACAGTCTCATCAGTGGTATGATACATCTCCGAGTGAAGTTTATAAACTAGGTACTTGATACACAGGGTGGGCCGAGACGTTAAAGTGAGATTGCAGGATATCGTGCGTATATATATATATATATATATATATATATATATATATATATATATATATATATATATATATACATATGGAACACGTGGGAGACGTAGGTCCAAGATATAATTCTTGAGAATGATTCACGGTCGGGTGGACAAATGCTGGACAAAGCAACTCACTCGTCTCCGGGTAGTAAAGGACTGGAGGATGGGATGAGAACGGTGGCGTCGGGGCGCTAATGCAATAACGCAACGCCACGCGGATAAATCAGGCAACCAACCAACGAACCGGCCTGCAATGCTGGCTGTAATCGTGTTACCCCAGCTTTGCCGTCCCCTGGGCGCCGTTATTGTTGTATCTATATACGGGCCCTTATAACCAAGGTACCTAGTGGAACGAGCCGTGATTGCGACACGCTGTTGAAACTTGCATTATTCGGCAGGCTCATTAATTAAGGATCTTGAACGCGAATGGACGAAGTTTTCAGTGTGGATAAAGCTTGGAGATTTGAATGCTCATCGTAGGAAGGTTCTGCGCATGCGCAAACCCACGAGAAAATTAGAAATCCCTAGACCGCGCAAACGAATGCGAAATATTTGCATCCGTGAAAGGAAAGAAATCTGATTTTAATTTATTGAAAATAGAAACAGTAAATAATCAGGTCACATAAACGAAACGGACTATAGACGTAGAATGTATTATTATTGATATCGACTTCGGACTTTTTTTGTTTCTTTTTTCAAATCACGCAGTACCATTGTTTTTTGTAGGTTAAACTTCGAAGGAAATCTTAACGTGCAAGTACGTCGTTCTGACCTGACATTTTTTCGACTCGAATTCACTTCCTCCGGATACTCTCTGGTCTCCTTGGGGTTGCGCAACCCCGCAGACAGATAAAATAAAACTTTCAAGGCTCGGAGATAATTTATAAGAGAGATGCGCCGTTTGTTTTAATCTCGGCTTTAAGAAGTTTTACTATTGCGCGAAAATTGGCCGTCATTTGTCGGTCGCTCGTGGGGGTGGAGGTGCAACGACCTCGACCCCTCGTGTTTCTTATTCGTTGGATGCACCCGGATGAGACGAGGGGTTAGGGGGTTGAACTAGTGGCTCCGCTAACTGGTATATAATACGCCGCGAAAACCAGAGGCGACTATCAATTATCGTCCCTGCCCCCTGGCGTCTCTCGCAGCAGTCGTGTAAGTTATGCCTGAGAGAAATAATCGTCATGGGGTTGTTACACGAGGGATAAACGGAATTAAAGCATTTATTAATCGCCCCCTCTCGGTATCTACCAATTCGTGGCTATCTGTCTTGCGGCATATACATTGACCGTTATTAATTCAAATTTTGAATAAACCATATTCAACGCTTGATTTGCTTCACGATTTCAAAAGTAGCGTGCACACGCGGCGTAAATAAAAAATTAAAGAGAAAACTGCCCGAGAAAAGAAAGATTTCGTGATTTATAAGCACCAAGTTGGCAGCACTGGCCCCGTTACGTTAAATAATAACACAGCGATTGGTACTTGCCGGCGAGCGAAACTCCCTGTGGCAGCCTTAGAAAAGGGGTTGGCGTTACTGGGAGAGGGGAGGGAATGGGCCTTTACACCCCCACCAGATATATCATCGCCTGGCAGTTATGTGTGTCATGAATTTTAGATTATTCTCGGATTAGATTAAGGGGCGGTGGTGGGGCGAAGTGGAAACATCCCCTTGGCCATAGCCGACCAGTACCGTATCAAGAAATAGTATCGCACTCAAAAATTCCAACACTGCGCATCGACCCCGATTGGAGTCCCTATCATAATAAAAAAAAGCACTAAATTAAAAAAAACCTTAATCCGGCTTTTTTCATTAAATATATTACCACTATCGACCAATATCAATTACCGATACATCCCTCTGCAAAAAAAAAAATTCCAAAGGGGATTCCAAAATGAAAAAAAAAAAGAAAAAAAATGTTAATTTCCCAAAGACAAATTGAGCGCCTCAAAAACTCCGAGCTAGACGTGCCCCGCGTTCTCTACGGGTTTGACCCATGGGACTCGAGGAGGGTGTCGCAAGGGTGGGTCGTAAAAAGTCGAGGGTAGAAAAAAAGACGGGGATAACTTGCAAGGGGGACGGAGAGTGAAAGAAACGAGGAGCTAAACGGTGTTTCCGCCCCTGGGCAGATCCGATGCCGAATCAATTCGCGTAATAGACTCGGCGGGGCTGGGGATGAGACAGAGGGGGAGGGTTAAATCGACTAGGGTATTGCTATAGGGTCGCTTCGCCTACGGATACGCTCCATTACCGCACCTGTCCTTCAACTTCAACCGTACGCGAAGCGAATCGAACGAGCGAGAATCCACTAATGAAGAGAAGCAATCACTTAAGCCTGCAGCTAACGGCATCCAAGACGAGCGGGAATAAGTTCGCTCGTATCGGCCGTACATTAAAGTCCTGTCCGCGGAGTCTTGAAACGTGTAATTTACATAATACAAGAGTGACGTCACGTTGATCCAACGGAAAGACACTCCTACACATCCAGTACCTATTTTCATAACCTGCATTCATCTGGTTATAAAAATGTTCTGTAACAAAGTGAAATATCTCAAAGTTCAGGACGATCTTATTGATAGTTATTCGATTAAAAAAAAAAAAAGAATTTACGTCGAAACGACGTGGTACGACAATATGTACTACTGGTTATGCAATACGTACCGTAGGTATATATGGCAGATAGGTCGGGATAATTGTGGCTGATGAACAAAAAATTATTAATGATTATTAAATTCTTTTTTTTCTATCTATATATATATATCTTAATTTATAATGGATTCGTACGTAAAACCGAATTTTATTCTTTACTGTACAAAGTAACTGTGCGGCTCAGCCAAAGGATTTACAAAGAGACATCTTAGGAATTCATTGAATTACTTGGTTCGGTATTACACAATCACAGTAGCGTATTTAGTAACGTTATTTCTGTTATTATTAGTCAAAACCTTAAACGGCCTTCAATTCTCAAGTTGCCTACCTCGCAGTGGGCAGATATTTCTTTTTTTTTTCCAATTGTGCCACTTAAAATACAAAAGGTCCGATATACGTACATTTTAGGTTGAAAATGAAGTTTCAAATTATTTACCTATAATTATAATCCTTTAATGAAAATTAAAATCTCTTAATCGACGAGTATTGACTAAGTTGAATTTTTTTTTTTTTACATTCACACTGCCTTTTTTTTACAGTAAAACGCATACGCAACGCGTCGCTACGTCGAGATCAGCCCTATGCTAATCGCATAGTGTATAGGTTAATAAATAATTACTCGTCTATCTTACGCTAGGAGAAGTTCACTTGATTATCCGATAGCATCCTCGCCAGGATCTCGACGTTAATAAAAAGAAGAAAAAAAAAAAAAAGAAATAGTAAACCACTGTTTAATAATAAACTTACCCAGGCCCCGTAGTACCAACTTAAGGTATATATCATAAGTACTAAGGTGGTCAGGTGTGACAATAAAAAAAAAAAGAAGTAACGCCACGAGTCATTATTGGGTTTAAACGCTGAACGATGAATATACCTGCGCCTGCGACAGACGAGAGTGGTTTAGAGAGATCTTATTAGAGAGAGAGAGAGAGAGAGAGAGAGAGAGAGAGAGAGAGAGAGAGAGAGAGAGAGAGAGAGTATATATGTATATATAATTTTTTTTCTTATTTCCTTTATTAAAATCGTGCCGCAAGGATAGGATAGTCAGGTACTAGGAACAGTCCCATAGAGTCCGAGTCCTTTGAGAAGTCAATCATCATCATCATTAGCACCACTGACAGTCTCAGTCAGATCGGAAGCTGAGATCAGCCAAAGATCCGCAATCGAGGCTGAGCTGCACGGTGAGTTGAGAGGAGAAAACAAAAATATTAGAAATTTACATCGGCCGTGAAAAGTTAATTAAAAAAAATAAAAAAATAAAAAAATAAATAAATAAAATCTCAATGAAAAGCAACATTACCCGTTGGCAATGTTAAAGGGGGATTGCTGGCAAAAGCTGCCGGCCGGAAAGAAACAGGATGGGGGGGGGGGGGGGGGGGGGGGGGAAAGAAAAAAAAAAAAAAAAAAAAAAAAGAGTCTAACCTCGTACGGGGAAGATTGTTCCCATTCGGGGATTAAATTGAAAAGGATTATAGAGACGGGCTGCGGAATTTTATATATGTGTATATATGTATGTGCCCGTGCAGCCATTTGAATTTCTCACGCCTCCCGACAGAGAGGGTTGGGCGAAATACAAGATAATCAAGGGAGAGGATGATCTTTCTCGGAGATAGGACTTTCCCAAAGGATTAGGAACCCACTCCTAACCACTGCCCGCACGAAACGTTACGATTAAATATAATACACACCGTATAATAATTACAATAATTATAGCATTAATTAAGAAATATTATGTTAATAGTTATTTAACCATGTGTATGGCTCAGTCTATTACGCTAGTCTCATGCAACAACAACAATAAAGATACAACAATATATTTACTTGTGTGTTTGTCATTTAATCGTTTACTTTCTTTCTCTTCTTCTTCCTTTTTTTCCCCGCAATCTTTTTTTTTTCCTTTCACTTTACCTCCCTCACGCTTTGCAATCAACCCGTATATTCCCCCATGCATACTTCCTCCCACTACACGCTGCTACACACGTTGCAATAGAAAAACTTGTAAATTTTCAAATCTCATTCAACTTCGTTTCACTTGCATTTATAATATTTAATATAATTATTGTGTACAAATAGACGATTTCACGTTACTTTACATTCATTTATAAATTTCTTTTCTCCCTACATCGTTCATTCTTATTTTTCTTTCTTTCTTTCTCTCATTTTCGATTGAGAGCTTCGGAGTCTGATAATCAATCGTTAATGCCACATGTTTCTCTCGAGCTTCGGATAAAACAGGGAATGTGTATCCATTGCCGTTGGACGAGACGCGACTTGGTACAAAATTTCACGAGAAAAATAAAAAAGGAGACGATTTAGCTAAACGTACAGAACGAAGACTCTTTTTTTTGGGGTTTTTTTTTTTTTATAGATATTTTCATTTTCCAATATAAAGTTCTACATCCCTCACTGTCGTGGCTAACTTTTACGAAGCCCTGCTGGTGACTTGATAAAAATTCAATTACATATGTATTCATATTTACAGCGCTGCGAGAATCTATGTATTTATATACACATGGTCATTCATGGACAAATGCGCACCACCTGAAGTTGCTGATTCTACCATGTAAATCAACCGGACAGAGCTAACTTCAGGTGGTTGGCGTTTGCCGTGAATAACTTTGTATATACGAAAAGTGCGAAAATTAAATTCTTTATAATCATTATAATTGATTTGTAGATTTGTTTTCGTCGACAATACAATTTTCGTTAATGTCGTTAACTTCAGATCTACAAGAACGACGCACCGTGAACGAGCAAAAAATATACTAAAAATAAAAAAAAAAAAAATAATAATAAAGATATTACATCGTACTTAGGAACTATGAAATAATACAAAACTCGATGTAATTAATCGTTGAGAACATACATGTCTAATAGGAAATCATATTGAATCAAGGACATAAGGTCTTCTCGAATTACGTTAACGAGGAAGGTACCACCCGGACGTATCGATAATCGTGAAAATTGATCTAATTAAAAATAAAAAAAAAAGCAACTACGACTGCGCAGCTTTAATACGTACGTATGTAATTATGTACATGCATGTTTTCTATACTCGTGAACGTTAATGTACCCTGTGACGAATTATATCCTCATCGTGAAAGCTACTCGCGTGACGATTACGAGGAAAGAATTTAATGTCTGCAGCGAGGAGCAAACATGTGGCCTTAAACACTATCTCTTTGCTCAGGCCCTTAAGTAATATAAAAAATAGTAATATCACAAAAACTTGCGCAGGCAGGGCGAGGAAAGGACCCGATTGGGATAAGAATTTTTGACAATTTTACATTGTCAATCGACAGGCGTGGATCGAGTCAGGAGCGGTCACGAATAATTCTATATACTCTCTGCATTGAAACTCTTGTCGCATCACTCTCGCGCGACATTGTCAGACATGGTAACGATATTCATACTAATATTTAATCGATCAGATTTCTTTTTTAAATCTGTTAATCATATCAAGATATTTTCGATGTAAATACGTCTCAGAGAAGTTAGGAAATGTTAATGATGATAATTGACACATATTTTGTCGATTACTCAATCAAAAGGAACACTCGACTTGGGGATCGAGATCGCGCACTAAAGAAATATTCAACAGTCAAATGACTTTTACAGTGTCATTATTAATATTTTGTAAGGGTGATGTAAATGGATAAGTGATTAAAAAAAATATATATTTTTTTTTCTTTTCCGTGTCAAACTGTAATAATATCGGTACCAAATGTCTTATGACGTCTCGCTCGCCCGCGCCGGTCATTCCTGCCAGCTGCTTTTATTTATTCATCAACTTCCATTCACAACAGTAACTTAAAATGACGGTCAGTATACTTTGATTCTTGCGTTGGATTTCTTCGTGTTCTCGAAGTTTAAAGGGAAGAGAGAAGTAGATCGAGCAGTAGAAATTAAAGGTAGAGGACGAAAAAAAAAGAGAAAAAAAAAAAAATAAACATAAAGTATCTTTCATAAAAGTTCTAGAAATCTCTCGCTAAGGCTCTCGCATACGGAGCCTTGTCGCATGCGATATCTTTAAATCGTCATATAATTTCAGAGTTCGTTACGAATATATTTCTAATTGAAACTTAGATCGTTGTTACGCAAGTAAAATTAGCATTGTCCCATAAATCACGTCACAGATATCAAAAAAGAAAAAGGGGAGCCCGAGGTACGTAATATTCCATACCGCGTGCGATCGTTCCAATCCGTGGGAACGCGACAGTACGACTTGACGACGTATATGTAAGACGAATTAAGAAATTTCATAACTGCGCAAGATGGCGACTCGTCGGAAAAATACCGCGACCGATATTTACTCGATTCGTGGTGTCGAAATGGCAAATATATTATCTAGTATCACAATGAAGTGAGTGAACTTTGGCTAATAAAAGAACGCAATCGCGCATTCTGGGATACATTAAATTTTCAACGTATAAAAATACATATTCTCAGAGACGACCTCTAGCGAAAGAACATGAAACTTCGTTTGTCAGCACGTCCATGGACTCTGCAGCACCGTACGGTGAGCATTAGTTGAACTAACTTCATAGAAGGATATCTGTGAGGCAACATATGCGTCTTAGCTGATAACAAAGCTAGTCTCAAGAAATATTTTAGCTTGGCTAATTGGTGTGGCCAGCTCTCTTGTCTTGTTTCCATAACGCGAAGGTACAACCGCTCGACTTGTATTTCAGCGTTAATTCGAAAGGAAAAAAAAAATGAAGTGTACGGCGTGTACGTTGCTACATAACGGGTATCATAAGAATAGCGACACAGCATAGTGTGTACGATACCTTTACTTTATAGTGGTCGGTGACCTTCACAAAAACCTCC